GCATCATTTTCGTCCTCTCCTGCAGACTTGGAAGTCAATGTGAAAGAGATTTCAATTCCTGCAATGACTTTGAGAAGCCCTTGCACCACAGCAGCCAAGTGAGCACTGGTTCCAGAAATGAGCCAAAACTGTTCGTTTCTCCACCACTCTTCCAAACCGATCCCAGACCACTTTACCTCCAGGAGGGCCAGAGATATAAGGCATATGGTAATGGTTAGCAAGTAGACTAGAAATGTGATGTTGAGATTTGCCACTATGAACTGTCCAGTGAAGAGTGAGAGTGCAGGGAGGAAGCAGTAGACAATGAGAAATATTGAGGTAAAAGGGTAGACACCGACGTTGATGTAGGCAAGGCGCTGCAGTAACTTGAGGCGCATTGAGGCAAGGAAGGCATTGTTCCTGGAGAAGAAAATCTCGACAGAGCCTGTAGCCCAACGGAGCACTTGATGGAGTCGATCTGTGAGATTAATCGGAGCTGAACCCCGAAATGCGTCACGCTTGGTAATGCAGTAGACTGAGTGCCATCCACGGTTGTGCATCCTGTACCCCGTCACCACATCTTCTGTGACTGACCCATAAATCCAACCCACACGGTCTCCCCATTCAGTCTTGTCCTCGTACCTGTCAACCAATGTTAATTTGATGCATAGGTACCTAGCTAGCTACTACTTAGTTTACATGATCGATTATCATCTCGTTCGTTAATCAACTGTCACATCATCATGTGGTCAGTTAAATTTACGAATTCACTCAACTCAGATCCAATAAGTGTGTGTGTGTACGTGCCCACATACTTACCAGCAAGAAATGGCAGAGACAGCTTCAGCAACAGTAGTGGCATCAAGCGGATCACGAGGAGCCCTGAGAACACCAGGAGGCCGTCCAAATTTCACAGCAGGATGATCAGCTAGGGGGCGACCGTAGTACTCAGCAATGGGTATAGAATCTGCCAGCATTGTGGAATTTCCAAAACGCTTGGGAAGTAAATTGGTGTCAAGATCAGGGTCGAAGTCGCTGGCTGTCAAAGGTTGTGTGTTCGACTGTGTCAAAGGCTCTCCTCCCTGCGTCTCAGTGTCAGTCTTCACCAGCAACTTGTCAGGATTCGGAGGGTCAAAACCGTACAGGGCAAACCGCCTGAACATGGTCCCCGTTCCCACATACACTGGACCCTGCAAATCCATGATTCATGCATATTGATTTTGTGCATTCCAAGTTACAATCTTGTATGACACACGAACAAATCCAACAGTCCACAAATCTATATATCCTATAGCGGTTCATAAGTATGCCATACGAATTTGTAGCATAGAATTTTTCAAGGTACCTGTAAACCATCAAGAGCACGCATGTTGCCATCAAAAAACACAGTGTTGTGATTGGCATAGCGATCAGAGGGATCAATGCCTTCGAATCTCTGTGGGAACTGAATGTAGCAGATGTTTTCGCCACCACGGTCCATCATGAAGCACATTCCTTCACGGACAGCTTTGCAGTTGTAGATGTAGTGGTCGCAGTCAAGGTTGAGAATGAAAGGGCCGTTGGACAAGATGGCTGATGCTCGCACCAGCGCATTCATGGCACCAGCTTTCTTGTTATGATCGTAGCCTGGCCGCTTTTCTCTTGACATGTAGACAAACATAGGGAGGCGTATATCGACATCTGTGAAATCTATGAGCTTGTCATCTGCCCCTCCCAAAAGGGAGTCAGGGCTAGGAGGCTTCAGCATCACCTGTGCATTTTGCAGCATCAGTTGTTGAATATTGCTTGGTTATTGCAGACAATATAGTTTCGAGTCTCGACCATATTTAATGACCATATTGCTTATTGTATCTCTAACAAAGAATTCAAGAGGTGATCAGTAAACATGGTCCAAATAGCTTTATTCAAATTCAAGATGAATTAATGATAAAGCCTTAAAACAAACGCAAATATACCTGAAGAATTCCAGAATGGTCACCTTTGGCATGGTCATGGGAAGGGACAGCCCAAGAACCAGGCCAATGTGTGCCATCAGCCATCCATGTGGCCTTGGGGACTTTGACTTGCTCCAAAGGGTCACTTCCACTCTCCCTCATATTCTTCAGCTGCTTCATTTCCTCTCTGGCATGGAAAGCATCAGACCTCCTCCTGATTGAGTCAGGAAGCCCATTGATCCTCACCTTGAACTCATCATACTCCCTCTTGATCTTCCTCCTGTCCTTCACAAAGTCTGGCCTGCTCTTGTTCTTTGTTGGGTCAACTTTCAAGCTGAAGTAGCTCTCAGGGTTCCTTGGTTCAATGTTGTGTTTCCGACAGAACGGGACCCACAAATCGGCAAAACTTGCAGCCTCTGCCATTGCCTCAAAGGTGAGGAGGGCACCTCCATCATCAGAGATGTAGCATGCCACCTTTTCAACCGGATAATCAACGGCTAAGATTGAAAGGATGGTGTTTGCAGTGGTAAGAGGTGGCTCTTTTTCAGGATCAGCAGTGGACACAAAGAGGTCAATACCAGGGAGGTCAGAACGGCCAGTGGGATTGGAAGGGGACGGCATATCAAACTTGTCATGGAGGACTTGAAGATCGGTCGACCGATTGATGGGGAAGAACTTGGGAGTCTGATCCAGAATCCAAGAGAAGGCAAACCATATCTCACAGATCACAGACATGAGCCACAACCATCTTGCATCATTATTTGGATGCACTACTCTCCAATGCAAGAAGAAACATAGCACGATAAACCGAACAAAGATCAGCAACCTGCAACATATGGATCATATTATACTTTATCCGTGTCATCTCTAATTATATTGCATAATGACACAATATATGAACACATAATCAGTTCATCTTACCATGTTTATTATGTTTTACTACCATTTGTTAAGGTGGTTGTAGTGCAAAAGTCTGATGAATTTTGACGAATTCATAACACTTTTGTGTGCAGGGACAAATGCAACATGTCTAATTTTGAACACGTTTAAATTAAGTTGAACATGTCTAAGTAAACCTGTAAAAGTACTGAGAGAGAGAGAGAGAGAGAGAGAGAGAGAGAGAGAGAGAGAGATTCATAATTAACCTGTAAGGGCTGATAATGGCTGCTGGGATTGGCAGTTTCCGACTGAGGGGCTTCCAAGGCTTGTCATCCGACTCCAGTGGGCCTCCAGGGAAGCCATCACCACCGCCATCACCATAGTCGTCTGGGGGATAAAACGCATTGCCAACACCATAGGTTCCCTTGGTCTCAAACAACCACCTATTGTGATCAAACTCTCCAGTTTGGTTCCTCTTCATCACAGACATGTTATCCCTTTTTCCATCTGGGCCAGGCAATTGCAGGGTTCCAGAGTTATAATCCTGTGAATCATCATATTCTTCCCCTACTCTGTATTGCTCCTTGCAACCTGGACAATTTCCAGTTTCCTTCTGGGCGTCCAGATAGCAATCTCTACAGATTTTGAACCTACACAACACATTTTGAAAAACAAAAACAGATAGAAGTTTAAGACTTGTTCAAATTACTAAATGCAAATACGAATTTTTAGGCTTTACTCGAGTACTCAAGATCTTCCCAGGGTATTACCAATGTGAAATTGAGACGATAATCGAGCAAATAATTAATCGAAAATAGTATGTTCATACCTGCATTCACAAGGGGTTATATCAACTCCTCTCTCATCCTTCATCACCTTACCATCACAAGCAGGCATCATGCATGCAGAGCCTTTGGCTCCAGCCATCTGAGGATGAGTCACCTCCGAATCGATCACCTTATCCATGAGATGAGCACGCGTGACGCTGTTGAATCCCCCGGTGAATAAAGAGTTAGAGACGTATTGCTCCTCAGCCTTGACCGCCACGGAGGTGTCCATGGGCTGATTGTCAGGGGTAGGAGGAATATGAACTGTGTAGTTCATATAGTCCCCTGATAATTCCCCTGACATGTCAAGGTCTTCTCTGGACAGACTCACATACCGTCCACTCGAAGTTCTTCTCGCAAACTTAACAGTTTGGCCACTGGAATTAGCCTTGCCTTGAGAGCTAGTAGAGCCCCCAGGGCTGCGTATCGCCTTCTTGGATGGCTCTCTGTTCAGGGATGTTGCCATTGTCTAGCTACCTTAGTTGCAATATATAAATTTCTCAAACACCAATCTTTCGTTTTTCTTTCTGAATTCTTCGATCTGTTTACGATTTCAATGAAGTATACGTATTGATCAACATTGTATGTAATGTAGCAGAACAAATCGGCTTCCTAGAAAAATACCTAAGTGACATTTTGTTCCATGGATTTTAGACAAGGGGAAAATGGGAGGAGACATTATTGGAGTGATGAAAATGTTCATGACAAAGGGGTCTTTGTTTTCCACCAACATAGGAGGAATAAATGGTTTAGAGAGAAAGGGACCGAGTCTTTGCTGATATGCCTGTTTTTAGAGTGGCGCGTAACGAGTTTTGAGGAGTGTGTTTGTGGAGGGGGGCAGAGGTAGCAGCAGAGAGGCGTTTGAAAACTAAACATTTCTCTTCTCTTCACAAGCACGTTTTTCTTTTCCTTTTTGGTGGGATAATAATATTATGGAAGTTAAAATATTTGTTTTTTATACTTTGCTATGTATAGAATAGTTTTTTCTTAATTAAAGATGAATTACAACACTCCTTCTGGCTCGAGGTCTTAGATTTGCCCTGACGCTGGTGGTGAGAGTAGTCGATCTTCCCCTAATTTTTTATTTTATTAACATATATATATATATATATATGAATTACAAGACGAAGGTTGTTCCTAGCTTTTCGAAATTAGTACCCAAGATGGTGGTTCAAAATATATTACTCTTGTTATGCCAAGGAGCTAAAACAACTAATTGACTTGAAGTATGCAGCATAAAGAAGAAGAAGAAGAAGAAGAAGCAAAATATCATAAAATTAGGAAAAACAATGCCAGGAGATGAATTTATACAATGTGAACCTGGTTCTAGGGTTGTTGTTGGTCTTCTTCTCATTCATCTCATTCAACAAAACATACCTACTTACTTGGGCAGACTACTCCCACTACTCCACCCATATACATCACCAGGAAAACCACTACTCCCCATGCTAATACTGGTCACACCCAAATTATAACTATCACCGCCACTGCCGCCGCCACCTGTCACTCCCGAAGACTGTGAAGCTGCTGCTGCCGCCTGTATTCGCGGCGCTGAAGGCTCTTTCTCCTCCTCTTCCTCCAGCGGCAACCTATCATACACTGCATGAGCAAATGAAACAACCATCAACACCACAGGGCCTGAAGCCCTCAAAGGCCCCACAACAATCCCTCCAGCAACCTGTCCTTGGCCGCCTGTCAGATATATTGACAGGCCACCGGCTCCAGGTGGGGCTGGTGGAGGCAGGCACGTGCCGGTTATAGAAAGAATCTCAAACCGACCCTGTAATGTCACGACAGTACCATTATCTGACGGTGATAATAATACTGTCGTGGCTGGCTGGCGCAAGGTGACATTTGTCACCGCACCACTGCCACTTAGCACACAAACTCCTCGGCCGCGTCGGCTGGCGTAGGTCACCAACGAATCAACGATGTCTGAACAGGAAGAAACTTCTAGAACATGAGACGTGAGCCCATTTGGGGCGTCTTGAGTGATTATGAGTGGTGGCTTGGGCTTGTTCTTTGAGCCGGGAGGGCGGCCCCGAGGCCTCCGCGCCGAGGGTGGCGCACCTGGACTTGCATTGGTTGGTGCATCAGGATCAGGATCAGGGTCCAATCCTGACATTATTAATCTGTCACAAAATCTAATTCACTGATTAAGAAACAAGATCTAGCTACTAAGAAGCAGATTAATAATAAAGTGCATTTAAAAATAAAAAAAATTACTACCAAGAGATTGAAATCTCTGCTGAGAGTAAGAGGCTCCCTTTGCTTATGTTTCTGTACAGCTGCAGTCTCCAGAGGAGAGATGAAATCATCGAGAAACGTCCAAATTAAGAGTAGAAAACATTGTTATATAGTACAATACAAGGGAACTCTTTATTATTGTATTATTTATTATATTGATTTTGATATGCCAATATGCATTAAAATATTATGTGATGATGATAGCTTTTTCTTTTCTCAACGTCTATGAGTTTGAATGTCTGACTGAGAAGCAACTTTCCAAGACATGGACTTGCTGTGAAACGGCCGGTGAAAACTGCGGAGATAATTTAAAAATCCCAAAGAAAGTGCTTTTAGTGACAACGAAGGCTCGAAAATTCGGATTTGTGATTGACAACCGTCCATGCGCACTCACGACCACTTGTGTTCCTCGAAAATTTATAATGCTAGTCTTGTCAAAATTGAGTGTCTTTTTACCATTGCTTTTTGTTTTTCAGAACCATTGCTTTTGATTTTCAAGCTAAACCCACAGGGCTAATGCGGGGTTTGGGTCAAGCCCAAGCACATTTGTACAGACAAATCCATCATGCTAAGCTGCAAAGCCATGGATCTCAACAAAAAAATGCCCTCAAGGGTTGTGTGGAGTCCAGGTTGATTCAGTTTAGGTCTCAAAAATCCGCAAGGAACTTATAACTTAAGCAGTTAATTATCATGATTCAAATTGGTTCGGTTTAGACTTCAAACTAGTAGCATAACTCAAGTAAACAAATCCATTTAGTGATTGATTTGGTTCGTTTTGGTGCTTTCATTTCTTTCAATAAGGAATTGGTCCTATTGCTGAAAGTCCATCCATGAGTTCAGTGAAGTATGCTCCATCAGCCTAATCAAATCAAGCCCCTTATTCACACTATAGCAACCCATAACTGATCAGCCCAATATAGTTATATCCAGCAAACATTTGCCTTAGGTTTGAAACTCTAGCACAATTGGATATATTTTTTGTTAGCAATAGCACAATTGGATCTTGAGAGAGTTTAATAATTAATTTCACTGTTTTTTATTTATTACAAGCGATAGTCTAAACTACAGGAGAGGGGTTTTTCTCATACACACGCATATAATTAAGATGTCATGGGGGTTCGAACCTAAAACCTCTTATCTGCAAGTTAAAACCCTTTTCTACTGAGCTAGACTCCTTTAGCAATTTCACTGTCTTTTAAAAACAAAACAAGAGATGAAAAATAAAAAGTTATGATGATTTATTTATTTATAGAACTACCTTTCCCGCCTCTTGAGCCACCGAAAAGGTTCAAGATAGCACTATTTTTATATTCCCCTTTAAATTTTGGTTCGTATAAAATGTAAGACCTATAAATGGATATGATGATGAAGAGGTTACATAGCAAAAGCTTTGTATTCTTTTGAATATAAATGGTAGTCTAAGCTATAAATGAGAGGAGAATTTTCACATACACTACCAAGGTTTTATAGGAATTATGAAATTATTAGTCTGCAAGTCAATGACCCCATTGACAAAACTTTGTATATCTTAAAAGGGAAAAAAAAAAGAAAAAAAAAGCATGAGAATAAGACCTACAAAACACTTTCCACATTGAAAATATTGTGCATCATTAAATTTGGGGTGTAGATTTTTCAAAAGAGATATTTATTAAAAACCCACGCATCATTTATGAAAGATACCAAAGTTTGCGGAAGCCAAATTGGGCACGACAAACACCTTCAACGTCCTATGTTCCTTGATTGGGATATTTTTTTGTTCTCTACTATTGGCAATAACTATTAACTTTATATTTCTAGCGGTGGTATAAAAAACAACCAATTAGCTTTTCTTTACCTATTTTTCCTTTTAACAATAAATGATATCTACTCTTAACAGCTTAAATTACAAGTTCTTTACGGGAGATCTTAAGATTAAGTATAAAACAAATTGCATAACAAACAATCATATTGCATATGATATTATTACTTCTAATTGGAACGAATAGAGTTTCCAACATTCCTTTTCGGATACAAGCAATATTACAAAAGAGAGATGAATCACATGATCTCGGATGCAAAGATAATCGCTTAACAAATCCAAACTTTAAGAAAGGGGCAAATGCCGACTAGAATAATATGATGACGAGCTCCCATACGTTGCCTCACTAATTTAATTATTGTATAGATAAGCACTAAGCAAATTGCACATTAGTTTATGTTTAATACATTTGTCGAAACTTGAAGACAATTCCAGATATAATATCACACAGACATTGAGAGGGCAAGGCCATGTGATCACCCCATTTGTCTTCTTCCTCAGCTGTTGTTGTTTAGTTGTTTGTCTGTCACATATCACCATTGTACTCTTCTTAACAACCATGCATACAACCTCACCATTTATTTTCTGTTTTATTACCTCCAATAGCCTCACCATTCCATGTAAATTATACATCTTTTCCAGCCAATCGTTTGTGTTTTAGAATTATACATTAACGACACGTTTTTGGTGCCCAATATTAAATTAGATTGGATAACTCAGTAGATTTAAAGTATATTGAAGGAGGAAATGAAGGCTAATTTCCGAATTTTGTTCAAATTGAAGGTAGAAGATAGATTAGTCGTGCAGGAAACTTATTTCTCCTCGTTCTCACAAAATGATAGGATATTAACACATTACCACCCATCCAGTCATGTCTCCACAGCACAATGAAAATCCTTCAATTGTATTATATTTTTTTGTGTCAAAGTTAGAAATGGGGAGAGGGTTTTTTTCACACACTGGTGACGTGAAGTTTCGAACCTAAAATCACTAGCCTGTAAATTAAGGCTCTTTTCCAATGGGTTAGACATTATTGGCTATTATTTCATCATATTTAAGTATAACGAGTTATGTAATTCAATCCAATTATAATTTATAAACACCAAACCTGAACTAGCTATAACGAGATATATTTTTCTCAAATCAACATTGCTATTATCTCCTAGTCTGGGATTTTGTTTGCTCTTAAGAGGACAAAAAAGAGGTAGGTGGATAAGGTGATTTTTATGCTAGATATATAAGCATGTGACATGTAACTTGTGGTGCATGTAACTTGGCTAGATTTTCAATCACTTTTCAATCACCGCCAGAGGGCTCCTCAGCCACACAAGGATGCCGTACCCCCTATCAAGGAGAGAAACTCTCATGCAACAGGAATAACATTTTTTGCTATTTCCAACTAATAATACAACATGTCAATGTGTTATTGGCCAGGAATAGCAAAATAGCGTTATTTCCGTTTCATGAAAGTTTTTTTTCCCTACCAAGAGCCCTGACCTACAAAACCTAATTATGCTCTTAACTTTTCCATCGTTCTATCTAGAACTGAATTGCAGGGTAGGGCCAGCCAGTACAGAGACCAGGACCCAGAAGTTGAATCCGCTGCTTACATTTCTTCTGTAATTTATTATGCATCAACCTAGTAACTCTTGCCTTTAATGTGTATAACTTTCTTTCTCCAGATTTTATGCCATGGAAGCTGTTCATGCAATCCATTACTGGTTCCTAATAACAATTTCATTATCTGTAAAAATAAATAAATAAAAAAATATCTCTGTGACACCAATCGTTGGTGGATATCCAAGCAACATGAATCAGATCTAGGTGTTCATGTGCCTCCTTTTGAGGCAAGCAAACAGTTCCAGGCAAATGAAATTTTTGAGTAGAAATCTTGCACATAACATGAATAAATATATACAACGTTTCTCTTATAATAATCGATGATATCCTAACGAGACCCGTCAAGAGAGTTGAAGGTTGTTTATATATGGAGACCCGTGGTATGGAAGAATTGCTAATAATTGAGATATCAAATGCTTGATATTATAAAATATTTTTCACCTACTATCATAGGCTCAGAATAGACCGCTCGACAGCAAATTTATGTATGCAGATGTTGAATATTAATACAACCATATGTTCAGACTGCAATTAAAGTCCTCTTTGCACCATGGCTTGTCCCTAGCAAAGGGGTATGTAACATCACGCAAGTATAATGAAAATGATAACACTTTTAAAAAGAGAAGAAAATGTACTAGTGTAGTCAATGCCTCAATGGTGGTTGCCGCTATTACCAACACAATAAGAGACTATAACAATTTGGGCTGGTCTGAAATGGCAAGCCACCTAACTTTGATCTAGTCAACTTGGTCGCCTGTAGCAGCCACAACTGACATTTCCCCAACCACAACCACAATTTAATTGCACCACTTAATAATTCTCAGAGGAATATTACCCGCGGCACTCTCACGCGTAGATTGTTGATGTACGTGAGTCCCACAATGTAGTAACAGTTCATAATCATTTGTGTGTGTGTGTGAAGAACTGTATCTAACGTAATTCTAATTCTTAGTATAGTCGTTTGATTCTGTCTTCGGTATGTACATACACATGAAGAGGCAGAAAGATGCATTGCAAATTAACAAACAAACAAGAATGAAATAGTGCAAGTTTTTCTAAGTACTATCCAAAACCAAGAGTCGCATAACTAATCTTTCAGCCAAACTTCACCACACCACAATAGACTTTATAAATTCCTACAACATCAAGACTCAAATCAAAATTATTATAACTTTGCTTGGTTTCAGCATAAACGCATCATGTGAACACATCATGAAGAGATAAAAACAAATTTTTATGCAGCATAACAATGATCTGGATCCAGGCAATAAATATAACATCATAATGCAGCTCAATTATAATATTGCAGAAACCTTTAGCACATGAACTAAAATATTCCAGATCCTAACTACCAAGACACTCAAAGACTACCACCTTGGTACACATGTGAGCTGCCTCTCTAATCTAGAATTATCGATTACCTGAATTATGAGGGCCCGTTAAGCTCCCTCCCTGTTCTTGAAAAATTTGCTGGCTGATACTGTCTCTATGTGCACTTTCAACCGACAAAAGAAAAAGGTATTCTTCGAAAAAAGGAAAAAGAAAATTTTGAAACTTCGTAGGAAAAGAAAACGTATTCACAAGCCATCTGTATTTATGAAACATGACATCTCATCCACGAAAAGTTATCAACATGCATGCATATAAAAAGCCTTTAGAAGGAGAAAGACTTCATGAAAAGGAATAACACTATTTTGCTATCTTCAGCCAATAACACCATGACACGTGTGATAATTCTTCTACATATTATAGCATTATTAACCAGGAATGATCCCATTGCAACTAAGTTTTTCTCCAGAAAGCATCACCATCATTGATATTGATCCAACTCCCAAGTAAAGCAACAACCAAACATCAAAGGAAGTCTCTGGAGCTTAATAAACACACACAGAGCATTATTGATCGGGATAGCGATCGGGATAGCATTGTATGCTATCAAGTTGCAACTAAGTTTTTCTCCTAAAGAAGACAACGAACCAGAAAGCATCACCATCATTTATATTGAGCCAACTCCCAAGTAAAGCAACGACCAAACATCAAAGGAAGTCTCTGGAGTTTAACAAACACACACACACAGAGACTTGGTCAAAGGCAAACACGTGAAATTAGCAATGGACATAACACAGAGATCACAGAAACAGAGATCAAAGGAAAAGGACGTACTTTCTTGAGCCCAGTTCATTAGGCCTGGAGAGTTAGCAGCAAGAAGTCTACTTAACTTCACCAAACTATACCCTGCAAAGTGCAAACATCACAAGAAACTTTAATCTCAGGAAGATTAAACTGAGTCTCCTTCATTGTCAAAGATAAAGGGGAGCTTAGCATAGCATCTGAAGCTCATATGAAATTCCATGTTCCATTATTAACAGAATATGAGATTAAAGTACTGGACACCATGTTGGTAGAATTTCCGGCAGTAAAAGTGCTACTAAAACTTTCATAATCATTTTACACAATTTTTCATAGAGTTTCTTACACGCAAGAAAATTAAATTAAAGAAAAAAGGTAAACAAAGAAAAGAATACAAATAGTACAATCTCTCTTTCCTAAGCCCTGCTGTATGTTTTCTGTTCATTATTTCCAATCCTCCCTCTCCATGCCAAATTGACAATTCCTTTTTGTCACTGTTATTCTTTCGAATTCTTCAGACCATACTTGAGGCTATTTGATGCCTCAAAAGTTGTGGTCTTGTAATTCTTAAGTGGAGGCAACAGCTGAGACATCTTTGCTTGATCTATTGTACTTCATATGGCTCCTAACAAGCTGTCCAGCTGAAATAGCAGACATGAGAGAAAGCTCTCCAGCCAGAACAGAACCAGCTACAACAGTAGCCAACAATCTTGCATTTGCTCCTGGTGCCTCTCTGTTGGCACCCTTCACCCCAAGCAGGTTCAAACAAGCTGACTGAGATGCAAGCTGGGTCCCACCTCCAACCGTACCAACCTGGAAAAAATAGCAAACACCAACGTAAGACTTCATGTCTACTAAGAACCAAATATTCGAAACACTGTAATATAAACATCAAGCTACAATCAATTACCTCAATAGAAGGCATGGTCACAGACACGTGAAGGTCCTTTCCATCATTGATGGGTTCCATCATGGTAATACAGTGAGAACTCTCCACATTCTGAGCTGGATCTTGGCCAGTGGCGATGTAGATTGCAGAAACAATGTTGCTGGCATGTGCATTGAAGCCACCGAGAGCACCAGCCATTGCAGACCCAGTAAGGTTCTTGAGCATGTTAAGCTCACAAAGGGCCTCCACATTGGTTTTCAACACCTTCCTCACCACATCACCCTTGATCACAGCTTCACAGACCACTGACTTGCCACGGCCTTCGATCCAGTTCACAGCAGCAGGCTTCTTGTCCGAACAGTAGTTACCAGAAATTCCAATCACATCCATGTCAGCGAAGTCATTCTGGAGAAAATCCAAAACGTTTTGTACACCTTTAGAGACCATGTTCATCCCCATAGCATCACCAGTGCTGCAGGTGAATCTCATGTAAAGGTTCTTCCCAGCAATAGCACACTTAATTGTCTGAAGTCTACCAAATCTGCTTGACCTGAATAACCAAACCCAAAACCCAGTTAATTAACACCCAAAAGAATTAAAAAGCTAAAGGCTTTAGGCTTTAACCAAACAAAACCATCAACGTTATCATCAATATGAGCACAAAAAGTTGAATCACCTGTTGAAAACCGTAGCCAAAGTATCGTAGTTGTTGGGGTCTTCCAAGAAGAACTTCAACTCAGCAGCTCTCTTAGCAGAGTTGAACCTCACACAAGGTGCTCTGGTCATCCCATCTCTCAACAACACACTGCTAGCTCCACCAGACAAGTTGATAGCTTTGCAACCACGGTTGGTACTAGCCACCAAGCAACCTTCAGTGGTAGCCATGGGCACTGAGAACTCTCTACCATCAAGCATAAGAGGCCCAGCAATCCCCACAGGAATCTGAATATACCCAACTGGCATCTCACAGCACTGACCCAAAATCGACTCATAATCGAACCCCTCCAACGGCAAACCACCCAGAGACTTCCCCGTAATCCTCTGCAACGCCTCGCGCCTAATAGCAGCTGCTCTCTTGCAATCTCCGAGCTTTGACTCCAGAGAGTAAGAAGGAATGGTTCCCGACAACACGGCCTTGATGACGTCCTCATCTTCTTCGGATAATGGCTGGGTCGAGAAATCGGTGGGAGTGGAGATCACTACCTCCTTATCAAATACCTTCTGTGCAACAGCTTTGGGGGAAGCAATAGGGGCAATTTGGGGAATTGAGCAGTCGAGGCCAGCCCCACACGGCACCTTGCGAGCGTCGTCTTTCAAAATCATGCGCTCGTGCTCTTCTTCGTCGTCGTCGGCGGCCCACACGTCGTTGCTGGGCCTGAGAATGAGCGACTGCACGAAATCGATGCCGAAGAAACCGAGCAAGTAGATGAAGGAGGCGACGAACGCGAGTATGGCAACGATCTCGGAGAGGTTCACGACGTGAAGAGGCGTGGAGGTCCTGATCTTCTCGCGCCAGCGAGTCAAGAGGAAGTAGACGACGGAGAAGAAGAGGGTGAAGAAGACGGCGTTCGTGAGGTACAGAGGGAGAGGCAAGGCGTCGGAGGCCTTAGCGCCGACCACCACGACGTCGTTTTCGTCCACCACCTTCACCTTCATGGGCCCGGGCCTTCTCCCCTTTCCGGCTGCGGTCTCCGTCGTCGATCGCCTTGCGACGTCCATCGGATGTGCTTACGTGGCGGTGATGCTAAAATGCGCCGGCGGCGATCGAGCGGCGGAGGGAGGAGGAGAGGAGGAGAGGACAGCGAGGACTGAGCTGGGCAAAACTGGAAATTTAAAAAAGATAGAAATGTTTTTTATTTCCTTTTTCTTTTTTCGGGTTTGGTTGGTGGGTTTTTTCTCCGTTTGGTCTGTTTGAATGGTTAAGCGAGTGAGTAGGGGGGTATATATAGCATAGCAGTTGGGTTCGGGAACGCGTGTGAAGCGAGTCGCACGTGCGAGGCAGTGTGATTGGGTCCTAACGGCACGTGTTGAACTTACAATGCATAAATAGTCAAAGCAATACACCTATTGTTGTCTCCTTCCTGGTTCTTTCTTTTACTATTAATTATTTTATTTTTAATTTAAAATTTGAATATTCATTGTTACTTCTGTATTGGTTGGGTTGGGTTGAGTTGGGTTGGCTTGGTTCACTCGGGGGCTGATTTTTTGTCTTTATCTGCATCTTTGTTAATTCATTTTTGGGTTCTGGGTTCTAACCTATATGCTCTATGGAAATTAGTATATGATTAGCAGGCTAAATTGTGTTTGTTAGTTTAATGCTTTTCTAGGCAATGTAAGTTGAGGTGCAACCTCCCTGGTTAAGTTTTAATTGGGAAATGCTAGAACCGAATAGCTTGCGGAGTCACTATCAACTGTAGATGCATTGCACAATTCACATGTACCTTTTCTTAAGCAAAATATCCACCTTCTATTAAATTTAATTAGTGCTAATAAATTTTGGAAACAATATCCTATTGGAATTTAAATCTAAATTAGTATATGGACCAAAAGGTTATTAAGTATTAAACATCCTATATAGTATAGTAGGAGGCAGCCTTCATTTATGAGTGCTGCTATTTCTACCTCTGTCTTATCTTCCCATCCACAGTAAATTTGTAAAAACACATTCCTATCTTTTCACCTACCATTATTCCTAAAATACCATCTAATTATTAATTCAATCAAATTCTCTTTATTATGTTTGGCGAGAAAAGTATGTAAAATGGAGACCCAACTAACGCCTAACCCATCAAAATTAAAATGGAAAAGAAAACCATGATCATTGAGATGGGAAGAAAAGCTTGATAATGGAGGAATAGACAACCCCCATTGATATATACTAATTTAAATTCTTATAACTCTAGTAGGACAGACAATGGAGTCTAACTCAGTGAAAAATTATCTTCATTTGCAGAACAATTGTCTTATATTCAAACCCCCATGACACATTTGTAGTGTGTGTGTGTGTGTGTGAATCCCCCTCCCTTTAGTAGTTTAGATTATCAATTGTACTATAAAAAATAAAATAAAAAACTCTAGTTTAGACTATCAATCAAATTCTCTTTGTTAGGCTTGGCTAGGAAAGTATGTAAAATTGAGACCCAACCAACACCTAACCCATCAAAATTAAAATGAAAAAGAAAACCACGATCATTGAGATGGAAAGAAAAGCTTGATAATGGAGGAATAGACGACCCCTCTCAGCAAATGAAGAGACCTTGCGTTGCTATTCATTTTCGCTAGGGTTTTTTCTTATCCAACATTATGTGGAATATTTTATAGTTATTGGATATTATTTTAATGATGTGACGTGCTTAGAATAAAAGGCTAGTAGATCCTAGCAAACAACAAGACAAGTAGAAGATGCAGATCCAAGGTGTTTTTTATAAAGTTATGTTACAAATTGGTAAATTTATCTTTAAAATTTTGAAGATAATGTGGGTGAGAAAATAAGATAGGAGTGAAAATAACAGCACTGTTATTTATCATACACTCTTAATTTGTAAAGAAAATCCTCTTTTTTCCCTTTTTTTTCCTTGACATTTCTAGCAACTTGATGAATCTCATTTGTTATATGTATAATAAAAAGTTTTAGAGTTGTTTCACAAAGTTTACGTAAAAAAGTATAAGTTTCATAACAATATAAAATCCCGAAAATTCTTGAGTTAAGATATTTGCCTGGTTTTTCTAGGCTTATGCATGAATTTCTTTGGTCATGTATGGCTATAAGTAGAGGTATACCTTGTGCGCTTGTTGTTGCTGATGAATTACTCTGTAGTTGGATTTAACACTTTATCGTTACTGTGCTTTCGTATTTGTATTAATCTTATGTGATTATTTGTATTGTATTGACCCCTGACTTATGGATGCAATCTACCTTCTCTATTAAAATTGGAAAATGACACAAAATTTGACAAATTTGAAAGAAAAAAAAGAGAAAAAAAAATTAAATTTAAATTTTCACAATTTCTAAGAAAACCCAACTATCTTCCCAAACTACTTTTAAATACACCCCAAACTAAAAATAATAATAACTAAAAGAGATTTTCTATTTAAACCACACAATTTTCTTTGTTCCCAGCCAAAAAAAAACACAAACAAATGAAACTCCAAATTCGAAATTTAATACTTTCTAGAGAAAGAGAACAACTTTATCTCTCTCCAAGAACTGTAACTGGAATTCTAACACTTGGGTATTGTTGAGAGAGAGAGAGAGAGAGAGTTTGTAAACAGGAAGTTGAAAGGAGGTTTTTAAAACTTAATATGAAAAGTGGTAGGGTGTGTGTATAGATGCACTAAGGTTAATTATTAAGTTCGATAACTTTTTTTGTCTTTTTACACAATAATAAAATTTACAGCTTAATGATTTAAGTATTGGGGTGAATAAAGAAAAGTGCGGGGTTTAAATAGAAAATCTCTATGATTTTAACCTATGAGAGTTTTAGGCCAAAATTCATAGGAAAATATAATTGACATTTAATGCTATTTAAAACAAGTTGTGTTTTTCAATAGAAAACAAGTTGTGTTTTTCAATAGAAAACAAGTTGATTTGATTGATGTATTTTAATATACATCAAACGGAAAGAAGAATTAAACTAACTTTAAAGAGTCAGATTAATACGGTTTGAAAAGAAAAATAAAAAACTAGGCAACAACACTCATGACTTTAAATTTCAAAGGGCCCATGTGCTTAGTAAGTAAACAAATATGTCAAAGATAGGATCATTACGCCAAAATATATTCAAACAGTTCTTGTTGATTTTATAAAAATATTATGAGAGGGATCGGCCAGCCAAAGAAGAATAGGTTGAAATAATGACATTTACTTATTCTCAAACTCCAAGTCAAACAAACACAAACACGACTCACAAGATTTGATTTAAATTCATATGAGGGTAGAGCTTTTATTGAGGGATTTTTAAATAAGCTTATGTGAGGGATACTTACTCTGCATTGTATTTCACTAATCCAAACCGTCTATGTTTTAGATAATCATTCAAAGATCATCTCCACAAAAAATCACTAGAATTCGATATAATTTGACCACTCAATTGAGTTATTGAAATTTTAGTACTTTCTTGAAGCACCGTATTCATTGATTTTGTAGGACACAATTGGATGTTGAAACGATTTTCGATTTGTCTAATTTTTTGTAAGGATGATATAAGAATGTGGACTTAAAATAAATGGTTTTTATCGTTAAAAAAAAATTCGTAAGAGACCCTAAAGGTGTCCCTCAAATATTCCTCAAATATGGACATCATTGTAGGGTGTACTCCGCATTGTATTTCACTAATCCAAACCGTATATTTTGTAGATATTCATTCAAAGATCATCTCTATAAAAAAATTACTTGAATCCGATATCATTTGACCACTCAATTAAATTTTTGAAATTTTAGTATTTTCTTGAAGCACCATGTTTATTGATTTTGAATGATATAATTAGATGTCTAAATGGTTTCCAATTTGTCTAATTTTTTGTAAGGATTATCTATGAATGAATACCTAAAAAATAGATGGTTTGGATCGTTGGAAAAAAATTCGTAGGGCACCCCAAAGCGTGTCCCTCAAATAAAATTATTTTAGGGATCCCTCAATAGAAGGGTACTATATAAACATTTTATAGCTTTATTTTTGTTATTATTATCATCAGATATATGACATAATTTGATATATTATATTACCAAATTATATTAAATTAACACTAACCATTAAAACAAAACAAAAAATCAAACTACTTATGGTCTAGTTTATAACACGATATAGCATGACAAAATAATATTTTAATTATTTGTATGCTTATATATTTTTCTATTATTAGTTAATTAAAGATATTAATTAAACAATTTTTGTTTTTTTTAGGACGAATATTAATTAAACAAAGTTGGTGGTGCAAATGAGCCTCGCGCCTAATCGCATTCATTCATTTGATAATGAGATGTGTGATGTGATGACTTAGCCAAAAGTATCGAATTCCACAAAGAGATGGGAGAGAGAGAGAGAGAGAGAGAGATTAGGGTTAGTTACTAGGGCAATGCTGTAGTGGAAGACGATTAATGAGAGAGAGAGAGAGACAGAGAGAGAGAGAGAGAGAGAGATTAGGGTTAGTTACTAGGGCAATGCTGTAGTGGAAGACAATTAATGGAGGATGATGATGTGTAATTGAATTTTGTAATAAACTTGTTGGAGTTGCATTGCATGCTTTCTCTGTTATATACTTGTTTATGTTAATTTCTTCCAAAAACTAGTTTTCTTCGTAATTGGCTAGCTATTGTCATGACCCTTCAAGGAAGAAATCAACTCCAATAAATCTATAATTAATACGTGCTAATACCCTACTGGCCTTATGGTACCTGTCTGGTTTCATTTTTTGATTTGGTTTTCATTTTTTTATTTTTATTCTTGAAACTAAAAGAAAGATATATGCTAATTTAAATTCTTATAACTCTAGTAGGATGGCCAACAGAGTCTAGCTTAGTGAAAAATTGTCTTTATTTACATAATATTTATCTCATATTCAAACCTTCAGGTGTGTGCGCGTGAATCCCCCTCCTTTTAATAATTTAGACTATCGGTTGTACTAAAATAAAAATAACTCTAGTGGACTCTTGTATTTGTCCTCCCAATACCAAAGAAAAATATTTATATAATGGAGGTTATATATGTGAAGATGGGAGAAGGGAAAAACATTTCAAATTCTTCTCTCCTCTCTCTCCTTTTTCCTTCTTCCTCTCAATTCTTGTAATGGGATTATTTTCTCTTTATTTAAGTAAATATTATTAAGTTAATGAGCCCTTAATCACTTTCTGTTGGGTTAGCTGTTGATGAAAGCAACAAGTCCAGTGCATGCATTACATTTGCAGACTTTGCCAGATTAACTAATGTCAACTCGAAAATTAAAGCTTTGGTCGACTTGTTTTTCATGGTTGGCATGCCTACAAAGTCCAATTAAAAAAGCTACAACATTTATTAATATTAATATATACAAACATAAAATAAATAATAATAATAAAAAAAGTGTTAGCAATTTGATGAGCAAGTCTTTGGCCTCTTGTTTGTGTTAGAGATTCGTGATTGGCCGACCCTTGTATAGTCTGAAGTGGCTGGCGCCATTTTCTTTTACTAGGACTAAGAAATTCAATGCCACATTAATTAAGTATATCAATTTATTTTATGTTAAGGGGTTGGTGTAGTGACTTAGTGCCTAGTACGTACTCTTACATCATTGTAATCAACATCTAGGACTTGGTTCTAAAATATCATGTACGAAAGTTGGATCGATGCGTTACATTCACAATTTAATCAGGCAAACTTGACGTGAACCAGACGAGAGTTGAACTATGAACTCTAAACTTTAATTGTGAATGAAAGTGCGAACAACCTTTTGTTTTATTTCTTTAATTCTTGAACGAAAAATGTGTTTGCAAATCATATACGGAAGTTGCATGTGTTACACACACAACTTAATCAAGCTCGCTTGACATGAAAATGACGAGAGTTGAACTATGAACTCTAAACTTTAATTGTGAATGTAAGCATGAACAACCTTTTGTTTTATTTCTTTAATCCTTGAAGAAAAAATGTGTTTGCAAATCATATATGGAAGTTGCATGTGTTACACACACAACTTAATCAAGCGAGCTTGACATGAAAAGGACGAGAATCGAATTCTTAACTCTGAACGCTAATCTTGAATGTAAACATCAACGATAACAATGCTTTACTAAGTGACAAAAACAAACACGTTTATAATCTCGCCTTGACGTTTCAAATGTCAAACTAAATGCAAGCCAATGTAGGTGAGATGAAGCGAAGAGGGTTGCAAGCAATTGGGTGTTTTTTGTCCACAGTTTGAGATACAAACAATTAAAAGCTTGGCAACCGTTGTTGTTCAATCATGCAAGTTCGATAGTGACAAAACTGCCTCCTAAAGTGGACTTAACAATTGGAGGATTAAGACCGCCATCCGGTGAAGTTTGTGGGTTCAATTTTCCTTGTAAAGAATTTTGTCTCGTTACAACAGGAATTGATGGCAATGAAAATATGGAATATAAGGCCCATGTCCTCATTTACATATATAATCTTGCAATATTTATATTGGTCCTATCCCATTTCCAATAAAAAAATAAAATAAAATAAAGGAAAAAGAGATATGATTCATTAGAGTAGAGCTGGCCTTTTTCTTAGAAAGTGGGCTTCAAAATTATTATTTTTTGGGGAATATGGTCCAGTATTTTTTTATTTTTTTATTTTTAAAAGGAAAACCCAATACCTTGGTGTACTATTTATAAACCAAAGCCCTTATCTATTCTTTTGTTTTTATTTTTTATTTTTATGTAAATGGTATTCAGGGTGGGGGAAATCGAAGTTAGATCTCGGATACATGAATAAATGCTTTTAACTACTTAAACTACAATCCTCTTACATCTATTCTTTTGTTAATTAAAAAAAAACATGCATGAAGTTTGAAAAGTATTCATTATTTGTTTGACCACGTTATTCATACTTGTTCAACTGTAGTTATAGATAAATTAAAACTAGTGACCTCATTGATATTGATTTGCTACATAAAACGTGCAAATATCAAATGGACAAAATGAATCGATCAGCATTGGTTGAAGGAAGATTACAACGTAATAGCCAAATCAACCCACTAGACTGACTCGACATTTTTAAATTTGTTCATATGCGCCATTTGAAAACTTCAAATTGTATTATTTATTTGGTTCAATTTTTTCACCTTCCATGTTGAAATCATTGATTATTGATTAGAACCCAACATTTATCATAAGGAAAACAAAAACACAAACATACTTAAATTTCTAAAAAATAAAAAATAAAACAGTGTGTTTAAATATAGTTTAAGATTTGATCTAACCGCTCGCTTTTTAATGAAAATATAATAAGTTTTTTATATAAAAAATTTAGAAATGAGAAACCAAATGTAGGACATCTTCTAACATTGTTGAAGAAGTCAACAAAGTCTAGCCCTGTGGAAAATGGTATTGACTTGCAAAACAACGGTATAATATTCGAACCTCCATGATACCTTAGTAATGTATATGTGACAAATCCCCAATCTCCTTGTATTATTATTATTTTTTAAAGTTGAAGAAAAATTCCAATAACCAGGTGGCTAGTTGGTAAATATAATAAGTTTTAAGCAATTCATTTTAAATTGATTTTTGAGTCATGAACTATTGTTCATGGTTAGCATTGTTAATGTGCTAATATTTGTAACCGAAACAAAAAAGCAAAATAAGCATTTCAAATCTGACAAACTTTTGTATTATCAAATCACCCGATTAAAGTATATTATTGCTTTGGACTGTTTAATTTTTCAAACCTTTTTATTTTATATTTTTACAATCCTGTAGTCAAATATGTTACAGAAACAGCCAAACAAGTAAAACAAAAGGAAGAATAGTATTAGTCTCACTAACAATAGTATGAGTCATAAACAAGTAAATGAAGAAACTGCTGGAAACAAACAAAAACGAGTCTAAAAGACTACAAAACTGGGGAGCCTTGCAAAAGTTGACAAAAGAAGATTATCTTCATTGATTATTATGGTGGAACCATGCATTTGGATGAATTAAGTTTCCTTTTTTTTTCTTGGGTAAACGGAGTTAATTTCCTTTTATGCTTTTCTTACAAGCATATAGCATAGTAATGATTTCTTCTTGGGGTAATGGGGTAAGGGGCTTTTGACTCAACTCTTGAGTTCGAGGTCCTAGGTTTGATTCCCCCATCTCACAATATCTGATTACCCCGTCCCACAATATCCCTGGTATAAAAAGATGCTTTCTTCTTGGGATTGTACCTTTGAAAGAAATTGCCTCTGCATAAAAAGTTCTCTTTTTTCTGTTCGATTTCTCTCAAGAAATTGTGCACCAGATAGTTGGAAATATAGGAATTAAAAGAAAATAAATCACTTAAATACTAGAGCACCTAAATTGTGTAATGAAAATAAAATAAAATAAAGCATAGACCAAAGATATAGTTCTAAGTTGTATAGAGATATTATTAACACATTGGATCATACACTCTTCAAGAGGTGGGAAAGGAAAATCCAGCCTTGGTATATAAACTACAAAAATTTATAGAAAATGATGATATTTATGGCTCTGTGCTCTCCAGTCTGCTATAGAAGAAGAAAATTGTGATTTGATGATGGCATGTGCGACGAAGTATTATCACCAAAAAAAATAGAAGAGTCATTCATTCCATTACTATTGGGCCTATACATGATTGGAATATGTTGCTTAAAACAAGTTGAACTTCACCTGATGTGTGCTCACTCCCCACAAGATCTACCAACAAAGGAAATAACCGGCATGCGTGCCTTCTAATGAAACCCTTTCCAAACCAGACAATACCTGCAATGCCGACACAGCTAAGTAGGTTCGGGTAGCCAATTCTTCCTTTTTTGCGGTACCCAAAGGAAGAAACCAGTGCAGAATCGGCTGATCAGTTGGCTTGTGCTCGAAAGATCGAGGCTCCGTACACTTTAGGTATATCTGCAATATTTTTTCACACACTTCCACAAGTTGAACTTCTATGTTCATCTCCTCGGACATAGACGGATTATCCATGAGCGCGTTTTGGAGGAAGCTCAAATAATTCTTATAAGAGTCATTCTCGAAATGAACCAAAGGTGGGGCGGTGAGTTCCAGGACAGAACACACTTTTTGCAGCTTCTTCTGCAGAATTGTCTCCGAGTTCAGTTGGTGTGCATGGGATGCAATAAGGGAAAATATTTCAAGGAGGATTCCAATGTTGGCGGCGGACAAGGATTCGTGGTTTATTTTGTATAAATCAGTAGCAACCTGGAAAGAGAAAAAAGAAAGTGAAGAAAATGAAAATGCCGCATTTCACAAAATCAAGACACGCAAGAAATTAAGCAAACACCAGAACATCTATGTATGGGGTAAGGGGAGTAAGAACTGCATACATTACATACGCATGCATGCATGCAAAGAATGAAAGGGGAGGAAGAAAACCTGTATGATGAGTAGCTGCATAGCAATATGACTCTTCATTCTGGAAACCAAATATGCTGCTGTTTGCAGGTTATCATCCTCAATATCATCATTTGTAAACCCCTCATCAGATGCCAAATCTATATCACTATAAGATCGAGAAAGACCGGGAACATTGATGTCATCCATGGTTCTCAACACCTTCATAAATCCAGGCACTGCAGATGTGGCAGCTTCTTTCAGAGCCAGAAAAATCTGTCTCCATTCGTCTTCCGAAAGTCTGTTTCCCACTTCACCAGCCAAACGCACTAATGAAGCAACCCCCGTGCTAGCAGGACCCTGAACAGGACTTCTGATGAGCCCTGTCAGAATGGACACCACACCTGGTAGTTGAGCCCTCACTATGTCAAAAAAGCTGACAAATAGATCTATGAGACAGTCTGCTGCAACTGCAGAAGTTTCAGAATCCCATGTACTTCCCTCAGGACGTGGAGATACTGAAACTGGCGAAGACAAGTCATTTTTCATATTTGTATCTCTAAATATGGGGTAAACAACGGAATTGAAGATCGCAGTCCAAAACGAGTGTGAGAAAAGATGACCATGATCCTTTAAAATGTTAAAAAGAACTTCCAAAGAACCCTTCCGGATAGCTGATCTAGGATCTGACGTCAGCTTTGACAAACCTGTGACGACAACATAATATTTATGTTATGAAAGAAAAGGCTGAAGAGCAACATGAGTCTTTCTCCAAAGATATAAAAAGTCAAGTATACTGGAAAATATTCAATATCAAGGGTCTGAGCAGGGGTTGCAGTATATTTTTGGGTTAATATCTTTTAAAGTGATAGATGAGGGGAAAATAAACTCTTGCATTTTCTGCTCGGGGTATAGGTGAAGATTAAGTGGCAAAGCAGGTTGCCTGTAGTTGTGCCATCCACAATGCACAATGCTAAGAAGTTGTAACACTTGCTCGGAAGCTAGCTTTAAAATCATGTTACCTGTTAGCAATGGAACCCAAAAGGATGCATGCTCATCTTTCTCGTTGAAAGTCACTACATCTGAACCATCCTCATTTACATTTGGAATGGACGACACATTGACCTCACTCCTCTTATTGTAAACAAGGCCTCCTTCTGCAAGTTTGACAGCACAGAACCGGAGAAATGCAATGGCATTGAGGCTAACATCACTATTGAATCTGCTATTGGTGAAGGTTAAGAGGCATTTTACACAATCAGTAAAAGTCAATGTCTCTGTCTCCGTTATATAAGGGAAATATTCTCTGACGATTTTTTCCATGGTCTCAAAGGCCAACAAGACAATATTTTTCCGCTCATCAGCTGCAGCGGCCGTGAAGACCTGATGAAAGAACAGCATGACGTGAGAGACAAAGCATCTACACAAACCAAGCCTTAGTACACCATGGTAAATGCATGAAGATCATTTTCAAATCGCAAGATAAAATTTATAATCTGTGGAAAACACATGCCCAAGACTACTTTGAGATGATACAAATGAAAACACACAAAATATTTTTACGTGTCACTGCCTGAATTTATCCTTGAAAACTTCCATAGCGTCTATAGTTCAATTTGGATCACAAATCTTCAAATATTCAATTAATCTCACACTAGCGGCTATGTTTTCCCTAAATAGCCTAATTTAAAGAAACACTCTATTTCCACCTCATTCCCACTACCAAAAATGTAACATTAAAGCATTCAATTTGTAACACAAGAAACCAAATTATGAAACTTTAACATACCAGAAAAACACTTTTCCACCCCGATTTCACATGATTGACACGGCTGAGGACCATTTGTGAAATGCACCTAACTATTAATTCCTTAATTTCTGTAGAACCACTTTTTTGCATAACAATCACAAATGGTCTCAAAAATTCATTCTGGAAGTTGTAATTTGCCAGTTCTTCACGCTCTAAGAATTTCATAGCAAGCTGACGCAATGAATCCATCACAAATATTGCAACTGAGAGATTCTCGGACAAGCCAACTGATACGAAGAAATCTGAGAGAACATTCCATATGCGAGACCACACTAATCTGATGCGGTTCATATTGTAATGCCTGCAAAAAGAAAATGTATTCTTTAATCATAAAATCCATCCCACCTCTCATTTCTGTTCAGATGAAGTTGCATGGTTCATTATCACAACAAATTAATCATGAATCCGGAGAGGAAGACAAAGATAAAAAGCAAAGAATGTTTCATATCTGCCAAAAAAATCACATGGAGAGGAAGTACCACATGGTTTAAATTCTAAAAAAAATATCACAAGGCTTTCTGCAAGTATGCCATTTGAGAACTTGAACATTTTAATTTTTTATGCATAAGAACTCAAATAAAATATAAATTATGCTGTCATTGTGCTCATGCAACAGAATCCCATAAAGAAAGGAGAAAAGACTCTTACGCTATCTCAACTAATTTTGTGAGGCTGAATACACGAGGGTCCGTTTGAGATTGCAACTCTGACATGGAAACTTTGCATAAAGCCTTCACAAAAGCCACTATCGCTTCACTGTTCAATCTTTGGCTATGAGCAAATACATGATTCAACTCAAAATTCCCAATCTGATCCAGCAAATTCAAGTTTGAAATAAAGTTATTTATCTGTTCTGGAGTTACCAGTCCAGAAGTATTGACTCCTACACTAGTACTGTCATATGAACCCCCACGAACAACAGCCATTACAGCTGGATTCTGGAGAGTTCCTTTTTTCTTCAGAGAAGAAAATCCAATAGGCTTTGATGTTTTCTCCTCAGTTTCAACATTTGATCCAGTCAAATAGGACGCATCAGTTGGTGCACCTTCTCCCAACAGTTGCAGATGCTCAATTCGGGAAAGGCAAGTTAGTATGTGTTCCCATGCTTCCTGAAGATGATTACCATCTTCAATGGCGATTGATATTATTGCCTGCAAACAGTAGATGTATGGGTAAAACTGATAAAAAAACATTGCACAGAACTTACTGAGAGCATGCACATGTGATATGCATAGAAAGTAATAAATAAAAGTTCAGTGCTATACTCTCCCCAGAGTAATCCTAAGCACTAATGATTTCTTCTATACTATTTATTATACGACAAGGGTCAGAAAAAAAAAATTCTGAAATGCAAATTGATCCAACTTGCTCCATCATTACAGTACATAGATGCATACTTAAATGTTCTTTACTGGCGAAAACAAGTTCCCTTTTGATTAAGATATACTGAACATGCACGAACCTTCACAGCATCGACATTTTTTTGCTTCATATCTGCAGCATTATGCAGATAAGTAAACTTTGCCACTGAAGTGACAAATGCATCTCTCTGGGTCTGCATTCCCATCAAAGAAGTAACATGAATGGCATGCCGAAAACCTTGTAAGCATTGAGAAGTAGCAAGCCTGTCATCACTTTGGTCAAGAGTCACACTAAATGCTGCCAGCATAGGACCCCAGCAGACTTCCACCATAAACCTCAATATTGCCACATCTGTCACAGCATGATAGACAGACCTGCAGCACCAAGTAAACATGAATTCCCAAATGTTACCAGACTCTGAATAGGTCAACGACGAGCAACCAGATCCCACATTGATCAGATTAAATTATCTTAATTCCCAAATCAATTCATACCAACTAAAAAATGCAATAGCCCTAATTGGGGTTAAATACTTTAATTCTTCTGTCATAAACGAAAGATGTTGATAAGATGTAACTATGTTAATACTGGCTTTCAACCTACTACAACAGTCTTCCTCTGGTATGACTTAGAACTGGTTGTTTAAAAGTACGACACTAAATATGATACAAGCAGAGTTCAGTTTTCAACCCGACATGCTCAATCATCCATCATTATTGTGTATTATCAAAACACAATCCCAGTAATCACAATATTTGGCAATAAAAGAAAGCACAAAGGAAGGTATTTCTACACAGTCAAAACAAGTATCAAAAGATATTCAAGCGGAATATTATACGCCTTAAACCACTGCCAAGCTTCCCACTTTTCCATGCTCCATCAGTCTAGTCATAGGTAAAATAACTTACAAACAATTTTCAAATCCAGAAATAAACTTATCTCTATCTTGTATCTAATTTTAGCTTACTCTGATTTTCCAGACTTTGCTTTAAATTGCTCCTGAATGTGCTTTATAAGAAGCCCATTTGCACCCAAAGCTTTTTCTTCAGTCTGCTTTCCAGTTACTAAATTCAGGATACCATCCAAGCCCAATAATTTGTTAAAGCTGTTTTCCTGCTTGCTCTGTGGTGCAGTAGTGTCAGCGCTCATCTTAATTTCATTTTTAACAATTTGATCATATAGGACACCAAGATACTCCTCAGGTAGATCCTTGCCATCATCTATTCCTCGGTTGTTCCGGATGAAGTCAGCCTTGGTCATCTAGATAAATAACCAATGCAGAATATACGTCAGTAGACAGAAAATATGCAACCTATAGCTTCTGAAAGGCGCTGAATTGCCAATTGATGTGTATAACAAATCAAATATGACAAGAAATTTTAATCAATTTTATTTACACAGTTTAAAATTAAAAAAAATTAAAATGAAATTAATGATGTTCCATTAAAGAACTGATTTGAGCCCCTGGAATTAAACCATCTTCTGTATGACATCAAAGGTTGCCATCCTGTATTTAGCCAAACCACAGCTCGGGGAAAAAATAAATAAGACACCCGGGAGACAAAGTCAAAAACCCGAAAATATTTACTTCAAATATCAACAGCAAAAGCAACGCTCAAAACTTATAACTATTTGACATAAAACAAAAGGGAAGTTATGCAAGCAAACCTTATCTTTCACCATGTTATTATGGGCGTCTGTATTGAGCATTATCACAGAGTATGCGAGGACATATGCAGTATCTGCACTAGTAAATGAATTTGGACTGCATTTACAATAGCGCTCAGCAAACTTCTCCATGATGCGATCAATTTTCTGTGCCTCTCCAGGTAACCTGAAGCCCCGCAGGAAAAACCTTATTGCTTCGCCGAAATCCATCCCTTTGAAATTAAAGGAATCTACATAAGCATGCATAACTTTTAGAGGAAATTCCTCCCTTTCACCCAAATAGTCACCAATCATGGTTTCATTTAGGCCAGCAGTGTTGTTCCTCAGGAAAGACGCCACATCTTCTGGAGAACTACCAATCTTTTTGGTGCTTATAAGAAATTCAATGCCCTTGGAAGGCTTTCTATTAAACAGCGATATACCTTTCTGCATTCAAACAATAAAACTTTTACTACCCATGCTTATTCTTGGTAAGGTGAGAGTCCCGAAAAAAAATATACCGAAGAAATAGAAGGGGAAAAGGGAGGGGAAGTGATTTAGCCAAAAAAACTCAAGCGATGGGACAAACTACCATGAAACTCATACTGCATTTCCAAATGAGTGGATACTTTATGTTGCTATACAAAAAAAAGCAGAGCTCAACCTGAAGTTCAATTTTATAAGCTCGACGTTGCTCGAGAGTTGCAGCATCTGAAACTTCAGGATTTCCTTCTGGGTGTAATTCATTATCAAAAGCAGCTCCTTCTTCACCATTTGGGGTCAATTGATTCTCCATTTTCTCAGCTGAAGTGTCGCTCTCATTGGTCTTTGGTAGATAGGAGTCTCCCAGACTCAGCTGTTGGTCCATCCAAGCTCCCATTGAATTAATGATGCTAACCAAGCACTTTACTGATTCATGCCGGAAAGTGATATCCTGCACTGGAGACAGTGTTGTTGTTGAACCAGAGGGTGGTCCTAGAGCTGTTTTCAGAAGACCATTGACAATCCTGCAAATATCTGATGGAATTATAAGGGTTTTAATACATTTTACAAAAACACAACGCTTAAAAGGGAATGAAAATAAAAGGTTAAAATGCATGTGTGGTGTGTGTGTTACACAGAGAGAGAGAGAGAGAGAGAGAGAGAGAGAGAGAGAGAGAGAGAGAGAGAGAGAGAGAGAGAGAGAGAGGTTTAAGTACTAAGCTCTGCTATATGAAGTATAAATAGCCCCAAAGGCAGAAAAACTGGGTTTAAGCTAAGACCTTTGGCAAAACCAACCACTCAAATTGTCTTAATGCAAAAGAACGTAGTCATATTTTCCAAACGTCTACATGGGACAGAAGAATCTATAGTCCAATTTAAAATAAGAAAGGGATCCAGATGAGCTTTATACATGGTTGGCTACAATTGGTTCTAATATATTAAAACAGTTTCCCCACTCCCCACCCCCAAAAAAAAATTGTATCATGTACAGGAAAAATATATTAAAAGGAAAACAAATTATTGAAGTTCATAAACAATATTGCTAAATTCATCTTATGGTTTTAATCCTAATTTGGTTGAAAAAGAATATACAGTAATTGGGAAATTTCCAAGTTGTAGCTCTGAATCTTAGCTCAGAAAGAACCTAAAGAGATTTTTTTTTAAAAAGTAAAGACTGATTGAAACACAATTTTCCTCTCCTTTAGCTACATACACTCACCCTTTTCCTACACTCTAATCTCTAACAAAGGTATTGAAGATATTTAATAGCTTCATATCGCAGAAGTGCTTGTCCAGCCAGTTTCATTAGTAACAAAAGCACCCCAATTATTCAACCTTAAAGTTCGAGATAAATGTTGTTATCTCCTAGGTAGAATTCAAGCTTAAGATTTTTTGTTCAGGTATGGTTAAAACTATGTGAGCTTCAAACTTGAAAGAAAACTAAAACATGTTAGCTATCCCAAAACAGAAAATAAAGAATTGCCCAGAGAAAATGCTGGTTCTGATGGAATCAGAGGCACAGAAAGCAACAATGTAACAGACAAGTGCAATACCTTTCAAAGATGTTCGGGGCATCCACATCACAGTCATAGTTGACAAAACTGTCAATGATAATCTGTGAATCCTGAGATATCTTCTCCAATAAATTGAGGACTGTCATTTTTTGCAAGAAACTAGGCTGCAGAACATTCTCAAGCACGCGTAAGACGAGCATTGGAAAAAATATACCAATTTCTGCTTTCAACCCTGATCTGAATTTTGATAACAAGCTCGTGAAAATAGAACACTGAAGCTGGAAAATGGCCATGACTGACAACGCACTGTTTTTTAAGAGTGATAAGCAGAGGAACTGCTTGATAGCATTGAGAAACCTGTGCCACAAGAAAATGAAAAGTATCGGCATTCTCAGGAGTGATGCATCAACTTTGGTGCAAAAGAAAGCCTACTTTAATAACAACAATATATCACAAACAGTGTAACAAGAAAAAGACTGCGTCTCAGATTAAAAGTCCTTAACAAGAAGAAAAAGACACTTAGTGCAGCATTCATGATTGCTTAAGCGCCTGCATTTAAACTGCCCTAGTATATAAAGTCATTAAACATCATTTGGTCACTAATTTAAACTACCCAGACAGTCGCCAGAAATATGCCAAAGAGCAAAATGACAGAAACAGAAACAACAAACATCTGCTCTACTAAGATTTCAAAGTAAAAGTAACACTAATCTTAAGCAAGTGGCTACGATTAGCATACAATCACTTGCCTCTCATTGTTGCGCCAAAATGGACCCCCATTGTCCAAGACCACCTTCAAAAGCTCCAATGACAATACTTTACCCCTCAAGAGAATCTGATCATCAGAGTGCTCCTGTGCTGAGAATTTCATCGATAATTTGCACAAATTCTTAAACAACAGATACCCATCATCCCTAATCTTACTACCGCCATCACCCGATTCAGCTCCATCAACATTCGAATCTCCGTCACCACCCGATTCACCGCGTCCACCGGCATTGCCATTTTGCAATTTCAGCTTCGGAGACGGCACCGTTTTGTTACCATCCGGACCAACATAGTTCGCGTCCATAACCTCATTGACGAAATTCTGGCAGAACAAAATGGAGCTCCCTTCGTTCAAATTCTTATCGGTGAATTCCAACAATTCATTAACCGAAACCCTAGAAATGCTAACATTCAAAGAATCCTCCTCCACTCTGGTGAAAACAATCACCATAATCTGAGCCAAAACCGACTTGGCACAGATCTGATTGGTCCCATTCAATCCCCCAAGGTACACATTGTAACAAGTCCTCACAATATTCACCAAACAATCGCCCCGGATCAAAACCCGTGGCGATCTCACAGCGGCAAGCAGAGTCCGGAGCACGCCCAGCTCGATCGACTCCTCGCCGAGCCCAGCGCACTTACACAGCGACTCGACGAGCTTAAAGAGAACAAATTTCTGATCGGAAGCGTGGATCTCGCCGCGGAAGAGGCCGACGGAGAAGAGCTTGAAGGCGCAGTCGACGGCGGGCTCGACGACCTTGGGGTAGGCAGAGTCGAGGGCGAGGAGGATGGGGCCGAGGACGAATTCTGAGTCGGCGAGGGAGAGGCCGGAGATCGGCGATTTGGGGTCGACGATGGACGAGTCGGATACCGAGTCGAGCTTGTCGAGCGTGGACTTGCAGGCGGCGACCAAATGCGAGTGCTTGCGCCACGCAGCATTTTTTACGATCTTGTCGAGCGACGGGCCCAGGAGGCGGCCGGCGCGGGAAGGGCCGCCTAGGGTTTGGGAAGCGGACATTGATTTGGGATCTCGACGGTGATCGGCGAGTTACGCATTCGCGGTGACGATGGGATCTCTCATTTCGTTCCAGTGCGAGATTAGAGATGAGAGAGAGTGGTGAGATGAAAACGTGAGTTGTTTTTTTTTATTTTTAAAATTTAATATTTATAGTTTTATATGTGACTTTGTCATCAGCTGTTGGTATGGTTTGGTTAGTTGTTGCCTGAGGACCTGTGTGCGCCGACAATTGCGTTCTTATCGGAAAATTCTTATGCCACTTACGTTGTTCTCTCTGTCTTTGTGTTTGCGTTTGTGAACATATTAAAAGTAAACCAATCCGCTAATCCTTGATTACATCATTTGGATTATGGTTTCAATGTCTGAATTTTTTTCATTTGCGTTTTTTACCTTTTATTTTAAAAAATTCTTCTTTTTTTTTAATGTGTTTATATGTTTTTCAATATTGAGGGTTTCAAAATACCTTTTAAAAGGGTCACATATAAAATATGCACAATTTTTAGGACAGAAAAATAGACCGAATTAAGCTACATGTGACACATTACAACGAAATTTTAATTGAGGTGGAAAATTGATTCAATTTTTTTATGCATGTGACAAATTGCAACAATACGTTTCATATGTTATTAGTATAAATTAGAGATCTTAAGTTGTTACACGTCTCGTTTTAAAGTTTGCAATTACCTTTACAACTTTTTAAAGAACCCTACAACTACATTTCTAAATAAAAGAACATGATTTTGGCATTCGAAAAATTACTCTCCATACTTGTCCAGCTTTCTTCACACGAGAGGATTGCATAAGGTTGTTTATAGAGTTTTAAAGTCATTGTCCTTGGAAGAACCATCAACAAATGGTGATTCTGTTTATATGGTCACTCATGATGTTGTGGACTCGCATCTCCTATTTAGCTTAATTAATGGGTGTAAAGAGCTTTTTGGTTGAAAATGATTATATCGCCTATATCAAATTTGAATCCTTACAACATCATAATTGTGTGTGTATAAAAGTTTCCTCTCCCTTTAATTTAGACTGTCACTTGTACTAAAACAAAAAAGTTCGAATGTCAACGCGAAATGTTCTTTATTAGGTTTTTGGGTCCGTACACCTTGTAACAAGAAGAAGAAAAAAAAGGTGATTCTTCTCTTATTTTGGTTTTCCTCATGAGCTTCAATGTCTTTTAATAAGCCATGCATTGCACATTAATTTTTAATTAAATAAGGCATCAGTTTCTATCAATCATAATTGACAAAACAGTTACCACCAAATACAATTATTTTATGAACTCAACCATCTTTTGTCACTAATTACACAATTTGAGTATAAAAAAATGGTGCAAAACAAAAAACTGTGAAGTTTCGACAAAAGAAAAAAGAGCAATGTACTTGATGGAAGGCGATACCCAACAATTAGGAAGCTGATACTGATATATCACCAATCTCAAAATTAGCACATAAATTTATTTGATTGCAGATGTTAATACAAGTCTATAATAATTAGCTGGTGAAAAAGTGAAAACTGTAAACTGGATATATACAGTGGTAGCAGTAAAACAGTAAACCCAGCTTCTCTGATTTTAAGCCCTGAATTACTGGGCTTTACCCAATATCTCGCAATCACGCACTGGGCTTTACCCTGAAGTTGGATAAAAGTTGAGTTGCAGCTTTAACTCCACCAGCGACATGTCGTTCAAATTGTTGCCAAAAATGGACAGCCAAACTACTTCTCTCTGTACCTCATCTTCTTCCCAGTACAGACTGGTTTGGCCAGCAAGAGAGCAACAGAAAATGGGACCCTCTTCCGCAACTCAAGCTCTCACTCTCTTCAGCTCTCTGCCCAAAACCTTAATCTTCAACGCAGAGCCTCAGCCTTCATCTCTGCAACTCTCGAGACCCAAAAGATTGAAACTGATAGTGACGATGAGAGACAGAAGCAATAACCCGAGACCATTGCAGAAAGGGAGACACCTCAGCATCGAAGCCATACAGACCGTACAGGCCTTGAAGAGAGCCAAGAAGAACCAGAGCTTTCTTGACCAAGCGTTCGATTCTAAGTTCAGGCGCTTGCTGAAGCTCGACATGATGGCTGTCCTTCGTGACCTCCTCCGCCAAAATGAGTGCTTCTTGGCCCTCAAGGTTTGGTCTTGCAGTCTTACTTTCATTCATTTTTGCTTTCAGTTTGCTTTTCCATGAATTTATCTTCAATATTCAATTGGGTTCTCTCCAATTTGATAAATTTGATGCAAAAAAGCTATCTTTTTCTTTCTGTTTTCAGTTTACACAGAATCCCAATAAATATTTGCTGCTAAATTACATGGATATCTCATTTTGATTGTTACCCTTTTCTTCTTTTGTTTTATTATGAAGATTGATTCAGTTTTCAATTTTTTGTTCTTGTCATTGCTCGTTACAGGTCTTTGAAGATATTCGAAAAGAACACTGGTATAGGCCGCAGGTTTCACTTTATGCTGATATGATTAAAGTAATGGCTAGCAATGAATTGTTTGAACAAGTTGAACTTCTTTGCTTGTGCTTGAAAAAAGAAACAAATTTACACCCTGAACTTGAGGCTTTTAATGCTCTATTGACAACATTGATAAGCTTTAACATCCCTAAACTTGCAATGGAGTGCTATTACTTGATGAAAGAGGTGGGATGTGAACCAGATAGGTCATCCTTTAGAATACTCATTAATGGTCTAGAATCCATGGGAGAGACAGGTCTTTCAGGTATTTTGAGGCAGGATGCTCAAAAGTATTATGGTGAATCTCTGGAGTTTCTAGAGGAGAATGAAGAAACGGCAGTCAAGTGAGCCATCAATGACTTGCCGGATTTAGATCATATTATATTGTCTGTAAGGGAGTATGTATGAAACTGAGTTCTTTGTCATTTTGACAAAGCATCGTGGTTACTTTTCGGTAGAATAGAATGATACACACTTAGACATAACCACTCTAAACTCTATTTTTCTTACATACCCATTTAACTCTCAAGTCTATTATCACTGAAAGCTGTGTTTGACTGCTCAGTTTTATGATCTGTATAATGGATTTTCCGGCGTTTATCATTTCTTATTGTGCACACGAGAAGTGGTGCGATTGGCTTAGTTGCGGATGTTTACATGTTAAAGCGAGTACTTCCTCAACTCAAGCAAGAAAAACCTCTTTCAGTTGGGCACATATCTGTTGCATCACACTTGTTTGAATGCGTATGCCAGACAGTTTTGTTAGCCAAATGGAAGAGAATTTGTTACGATAACAGCAGCAGAGCACAAGTGACCAAACAAACAAAATCTAAGGAAGCTGCACAACACCCAAACACAATCTGGAAATCCTTCAAGTGTATCGGAGACCATGGCTGAGGTGGGCAGAAGTGCCAGATATCACAAACTTGTCTCACTAACTTCTTTAACAGAAAATGGGATGTAGGCTGATTACCAGTCTCTACGTGTTTGCATTATGTAACTGACTCTAGCTTCACCATATAAGGATGAGTTACCAATGTAATTCAGTGTATAAACACAAACTTCAATGAAAAATACTTCTCTCTGAATGTTTTCTCTAAGATTTTCGCAGTCTTTCTCATATTTTCTTTCATTTTACTGCTCATTTTCCTTTTCTTTCTGAATGATCTTCATTTTCACATGTGTATCTTCTGTTTCTCCAAAGACCAAAAAACACATAAAGCAAATATAGCCATTAAAGTCAGAATACAACGAAGGATGCAGTGGCATAACTTTAATTTTAAATAATTACATGTTCCATCAAATACTACACTTTCTAATCATCATATCATTAAGAAACAAAACTGGGACCTCGTATTCCCCTTTTTTCAACTTTCTTCTACAATTTTCTCTCTTCTTTTTGACCACAACCTAAACTTTGTAGGATAGCAGAAAAATTGGAGTGATGCAAGGACACATGACCATGAGTAAATGTTCAAGTTCTGTTTAAATCTTCAAAACTGATGAGATCAGGACTCAGAGGTTCCAATCAGACAGCCACATTTCAGAAATGATAATCTGATAGCCAGAGCATTTCAGGTTCAAACTTACATGCTTCCCATGCTAGAACTGTTTCCCTTCAAATGTCTGACCAAACTGCCAGTTTGCTGGAGCAACAATATAAGATGTGAGTGTTCTTCCACTACTGATGGTTACCTCAAAGGAAAGAGGCTGCCCTTTAAGATTGACATTGCTTTGCCAGTTCTGTCCCCAGTTCCTGGCCATCGGTATCCAACCGGTTCTCGAACCCTTCACCTTGACAGCAAGTATTTCCCCGTCTGAACCTACATTTGTAATCAAGACTTGGTAGAAGTGAGAACTTCCACTCATCATGAATCTCAGTCCCCCACTTCTCTCACACTTCACCCTGCACAAGAAAAAAAAAATCCCAGAGAGATCTTTGCTTAGTGCAAGATATCAAAAACAGAACAAAGGGAAAAAAAAAATCAAACCAGATTTTTCTATTACCTCCTATACTGAACTGGCACAATATCAGCTTTTCTCCTTGCAATTTCAGCGAATGCTGCCTCTGACATCTCAAAGTGTTCTTTAGGGAAATTGCACCAGCCGCCATAATCTTTTGAAAGCCCATAATTTGGAGGGCAGAAATCTGTAGCAGTGAGGGTAACAGAGGGGCTCCCTTGCAGGCACCACAAGATGTGGTCAACACATCTTAGCTCATAACAAGCCCCACAAGTACTCCCTTTGTTGAATAAAATGCCACTCAGCCCAGCACTGTGTTTCCCATAGCTGATCTTGTGAAGGTCCCCATAACCACAAGCACCTTCTGCAACATAAACAAACAAAAAAACAAAAAAAGACCTTGAAAAACTGTAAAATATGGAGCAGCATTATGTTTATGCAGTCAAAAAATTTGAAAAGTTTGCAACTTTTTTGCACCAGAAGCAAGAAGAGTACCAGTAATAATAGACCCATCTGTTTCTTTGGAATATGTTGCAGTAGCAGTCTTCCATTCTTCATCTTGGGAAACAGCGATGTTGCTGCACCTGCATATATGCAAAAGAACCAAGTAGAGAACCAAGTAAAGAAGTGTAGCTTGAAGGGTTCCTCCCATTTGAGATGATGAGGCCTATCTATGAGAAATGTGGTTTGTACTTGAAATGAGTTCCTTTTTCTTTTTATCCTTTTGATGCAAACTGGGTTGAAGAAGGGTGAAGAAAGCTCTCCTTTTTCTGTGCCTAAATTACCTCAATCTCCTTGCTGAGATGAAGCAAGGCTTGTTGTGGTTAATTGGTGGACTAGAAACAAAGAAACTCTATGAGAAAAGATTGAACATTTTGACAAATAGCCTACAATGGTGTCCAGAGTTCACATTGGGGGCACGTTCTGCGAGGCCAAGATGAAGGGTGTATTGGTCTTTAGGCCTTGGACCCTATACACCATGGAAAAGATGGAAGCTTTAGTTTCCTTTCTTTCTTTTTAGCGGGGAATGGTGACTCAAAAAGGGGCTTTGGCGCCTGCATTTGGCTTCATTCAAGATGGAGGGGATTTGAGGCTCTGTATTGATGGCAGACAGAGATACGGAAAGCCTTGAAATAAATAATTAAAAAGAAATAAAAACTAATTCCAAGGATCTTTTAAACTTATTTTCTAGTTGAGATGAAAGGGTCTATCGGACCAAGATTCTTGCAAAAATATATATTTTATGAGTCATGGATGATATATGATATTTCACTGTGTTTTTTTTCAAATATAAGATATAGTCTAAACTACAAGAGAAATGAAGTTTCTCACACACGTATTATCAAAATGCCTTAAGAATTCGAACTTAATACCACTAATCTTCAATCAAGTCTTTTTTTCCACTCAGTTGGCGCTATCTCACTGTTAATACCAATGGTTTGTATTTGAGCACTTTTGTTGTCTATACACATTAGTTTTAGAATGAAATTGTGTTTATTTATTTATTTTGGCACATCTTTTGAGAAGGGAGACTACAGTAAACAAGAGATATTGATACCCAACAAATAAAATGGGCTGAAGTGCCTGCATCCTCATATGCTAAGCCAGTTACTGCCAAAGCCCAACTCTTCTGGACTTCAAAGCTTAAACGCCAAGGAACCAAAAATTAGCTCTAGTCCAGAGAATATTTGGATGTCCAAGGTCCATAAAATTACTCACACTAAAATGTGAAATGGCCCACACACACGCAAAAGGAGTTCATAATTGAAGTGGACATTCCCTTCACGAGATGGTTGAAGTTAGACTCTTCCTCAAACTTGGTTGCGGAAAGAAGTATCACTTGATCAAGAGCTAGTTGATTTGAACATTCTTTAAACTAAAATTTGGCGAGCAAACATTCGCACTCACGCACACATGAAAGAAAGAGTGGATGGAGAAAGCAAAATTTTGGGTTTATAAAATGAAGATAATTGTGTGAGGTTTTTGTTGCTTATATTCTTCCAAGTTACAACCTTGATGAGTATCACTCTCATACTATGATATCTTTCAAAGGAACAATGCAGCTGGCAGGAGTATTGCTTCCCTTATCCCGAATAAGGATAGAATTGTGACCGCCACCGCCGCCGCTGCCGCCGTTATTGGCATTGTTGCTGATGCTCTTACTAGCAGGGTGATAAAGATTGAATGTAGCTTGATCCAGTGTTCCTTCTCTGTAAACAAACACACTGTCATCTTCTTCCATTTTCCGCCACTTTCGGTTCCTGTCACTAATTCGACTGAGATCATGGAGCGGCATACCTCTGCATTGTATAAGGCACAAAGAAAGTATAATCAAACGGTCATTATTACGTTAAAATCCATCCAAATCCACAATGGAAATCTAATATTCTGCAGATTAAAAGAAAACATATAATATATTATCTTACATTTTATGCCAGTAAAGTCTGTAAAGATGCATCAACAAAGCTGATGGATACATCATATACAGACTTCGTGAAGACTAATTAAATTTGCAATCTGCGTGGCATTTTGCAGTTTATTTCTGACCTTTATTAAACTATTCAATTGCAAATTACTTTTCTACCCTATTTTCCAGAAATCTCAGTAGATGCCAAGCACAGATGGTTCAAACTTCACGCTAAAGAAAGAAAAAACCAACAGACAAACAAAAAAGAGATTATTAACAGTATCATATTTTCTTTCAATGTGGGTTTGGTTGGGTGTCATATCACTTTGAAACACGAGCATCCAATTAATTAGGTCAATATGATTATTAATCAATAATTTTGTGCTTGAATAATCTCGACTAAACAAGCGTTGTATCATCTCCCTCTTATTTACGTGAGTCTCGCCTCTATTAAAAAGATGATACAATACATTATTAGTTGAGATAGTACAACACGGACCGGTGCAACGTAGTTGCACCCTAATAAGATTAAGAGATATTTAGTGATATACCATTCTTAGCACTAATATTATAGATAAACCCTCCATCATTGAATTTCTATAAACAAACCCAAAAAAAACCCCAAAAATGATAGTTGGCCTTATTGAATTTAATATTGATTATTAAATTACTTTAATGCCCTATTGAGTGTTTTGGGTATTTTATGAGATTTTGAGGTTGGACTTGTTTTAAGAAATTTATGGTAGTTTTGTAATTTATAAGAAGTTAAGGCCTCTTTGTTATGTTGTAAATGGGTTTTGGGTGTGTTTATAAAGTTCATTTTATATGGGGTATTTTTATAATTTGAGCCCCCATATTGGGTATATTAGTAAATCTCCCTAAGATTAATTGGACCAATATGATTATTTGAATTAAAGACTGCAGTTGTGTATGTATGTCAACAATTCATATACAATTTGAAGTTACATTAATTACATATTCTTCCTCTATTTTTAGAGGGACTTGGTAAATGCCACATGTTTATGTTCCATACCAATATACTATTACAACTCGCTATTAACATTCCTCAGCCTAAGTACTTTTTTTTTTTCCTTCATAAACTCAATATTAAGAGTGAGAATTCGAACACATGAACTCGAGTGTAAATACTCTAAAACATTCGAGCTACTACGACATCCAGAATAAATATAATATATTTCAAAAGTCAAATCATAACTAGCAACATGGCAAAACGTATCATCACACAGTGCACAAAAACAGAAACAAACCCAGCAAAAAATCGAAAGCCAAGTACCACAGCGGAAAACAAGGCAAAAATAAAATAAAATACACAAAAATCGGGAACAGTAAACAAAGAAACCGTACCTTACATGGAAGAGATCGGAAATGTCACACATCTCGAGGTAAAAGTTAACGGCGTCAATAAACGCCCGGTACGTGTAAATATGAAGCCCGTCGATTCTCGGGTACGGCAGCCTCGGCCTCGGAAAAGGGGGATCCACCGCCGGGACCCACTTGTTCCGGCGGCCGATGGCGGCGGATAAGACGTACTCCTTGGCGGAGGCCGCAGGCGGCAGGCCGACGAAGCCGAAGGTGGCCATGATGGGCTCGAGCTCGTCGTGGGTCATAATGGGCTTGAACGTCCGCGTGTACCAGAGCGCCAGCTTCCTCGTACAGCCTCTCATGTAGTCTTCCATTGTTGTTGCTACGTCGTGTGTTTAACGTTCGATTTTCAGGTTTTTGTCTTTGTCTCTGTGTTTTTTTTCTTCTTTTCGGTTTTGGGAAAAAAAATCGGAAAAAAAATAGGGAGAGTGAGGAGGAAGAAGAAAGAGCTTGAGTGTAGGGATTTGGGGGAAGGGAAATGGGTGGAGATTTTGGAGGGGGTTTTGGGGAGAGGTTTTGAAAGGGGGTTAGTGGCTTGCCATCCAAGTTGGTGGAAATTACGAGAATGACCGACTCGGCAGAGTCAGCTGAGCAGCACTCAGATTTCGAAGCGGTGCGGTGGTCTCTTGTAGAGGAAGATAGAGCTAAGTGAGATTATATGGTAATTGAATTTTTTATGATTGAATTTTTTAATGAATTTTAATGCATTCATGAATATGATAAACTTTAAAGATGGGTGTGTGTGAATTGGATCAACTTTTTTCAACTTTTTGGGGATTTTGTGACATCATAGATGTCTTATTATGGTAAACTTTTGAAGAGTCCTTGATTTTGGGGTGGATATGTATTTGGAAATTAGGTTTTTATTTATTTATTTTTATATTTTTTCTAAGGAATAATGGGAAAGTACACTAACTAGGTGACTCTATACGAAATGAAGGATAATTAATCCCAAATGATTTATAACAATCTAAATTTTGAATTTGAAATAGGTAAAATACATGTGTCAATTAAATTTGTTAACCAATGGGGTCGTGTTAGTTGGATTGGCCCAGGCCTTTGGTGTGCTTTCAAGTTGTCATAAATTCAAGCCTTCATAGTATTCGTGTGTAATAACTCTTGTTGACACATGCAATTCAATATCTCACAATAAAATTTCTACCAAAACATTGTTGTTATCTTTATGAAAGAAATGTGATAAATTGCATCATAATTCAGCACTAAAATCTTTCTTTACCAACTAAAATCTAAAATCAAATTCACACAAAAGACCTGAAAAATAATTGTTATTAAACTTCCTCTCTTTTATTTTTGTTTTTAAAATCCTTTATTTGAACACACTTTCATAAAATTTTAGTATACAAACTTAGGTTGACACACCATGCAAATATAAAAAAGTTAAAATTTTTATATTTTTTGGACCTATGTTTTTTGGTCATATATAAATTTGGATAAACTACATTAAACCCCCCAAATTATAAGGTTATTTTCAAGTTCATACTCAATTTTAGAGACATTTATGAGTATATAATTAAACTTCTGGAAACCGTACAATTTGTCCCATCCGTTACACAAATCGTTAATGAATCTCATAAATGCTGACGTGGCATTTGCAGAGGTTTCATGTATTTAGCCGGTAGGCCCCCGCCAATAGCTTCCCACGCAACCAGCCACAAGTCAACAAACATTTCATTTCCTCCTAGAATTCCTTGTGTCTCAAAAACTCTCACTCACTCAGCCACCGAACACAAACAGCCAAAAAATGGAGCTGAGTTTTCATCTCTGCATAATCTCTCTGCTCTTGCTCTCATCAAAATCAGCAGCAAAAGAATCAGAGATAATCTCGAGGTTCCAGCGCTACCTTCAGATCAACACGGCGCAGCCTAAGCCCCTGTACCGCGAAGCAGCAGATTTCATCCTCTCCGAGGCCGCTTCCCTCTCCCTCGAGTCGCAGACTCTCGAGTTCGTCCCTGGCAAGCCTCTCGTCCTCCTCAAATGGCCCGGCTCCGATCCTTCTCTCTCCTCCGTCCTTCTCAACTCTCACACCGACGTCGTTCCGGCCGAGCACGACAAGTGGACACACCCCCCTTTCTCGGCCCACCTGGATTCGAACGGCGACATTTACGCCAGGGGGTCCCAGGACATGAAGTGCGTTGGGATTCAGTATCTGGAGGCTATTAGGCGGCTCAAGGCTTCTGGGTTTGAGCCCAAAAGGTCTGTTTACTTGTCGTTTGTCCCTGATGAGGAGATTGGGGGTCACGCTGGTGCTGAGAAGTTTGCTGAGTCTGATGTTTTCAAGGGCTTAAATGTGGGCATTGTGCTTGATGAAGGTGAGCTGATCAGAGCTTCTGCTTCTAGTCGTAAAGAATTATGCTTTTGAAGTCACTGTTACTAAAATAAGTGCTTTTATAAGTTTATGTTATTGGTTTGCTTATTGTATGATTTGGGTAACTTGGTATGCTGGTGCTTTTTGAGTAATTTGTTATGGTTTGTTTTTTTTGCTAGTGATTTTCAAGTATTTGTTACGGTTTGCTATTTGCTTGTGATTTTGTCATTTGGGTAGCTGGGTCTGCTGGTGATTTTTCAAGTATCTGTTATTGGTTTGGTACTTGCTTGTGATTTTGTCATTTGGGTAAGCTGGGTCTACTAGTGGTTTTCAAGTATTTGATTTTAGTATGCTATTCTATCATTTCTGTATAATTTGGGTAATTGGCTCCACTTGTGAATTTCAAGGATTTGCTTGCTAGTGCTTTGCTGTTTTCTAATGATTGTGTTGTTTGGGTAATTGGGTGTTTTGAAAAACAGGGTTGGCCTCGCCGACTGAGAATTACAGGACGTTCTATGCAGAGAGGTGTCCCATGTGGCTGGTCATCAAGGCTACTGGGGCTCCTGGTCATGGGGCCAAGCTCTATGACAACACTGCCATGGAGAATCTCTTGAAAAGTATTGAGAGTGTGAGGCGGTTCCGAGCTTCGCAGTTTGACTTGGTGAAGGCAGGTTTGAAGGCTGAAGGAGAGGTAGTCTCAGTCAATATGGTGTTTTTGAAGGCTGGCACTCCGACTCCGACTGTAAGTTCACTCGCTCTGGTGCTCTTTTTTCTTCTTCTTTTTTCATGATGTGATGTTGTTGGTGATTGTAGTTGTTAGTGCAATAGAATTTGTTGTTTTTCACTTGGATCAAATTAAGTTTGAGAACTTAAACTTATACAGAGTAAATAATAATCTTGTTTAGTGGGAGGTATTACATTATCACCTCAGATATAAGACTGTTGAAAAAAAATCATATGCCTTGCTTGATTTGGAAAGCCAAAGCGCTGAGAAACATTCTTGCTAAAGTTGGCAATGAAATTATCTTCTGCAGTATAACTTGGGATCATATGGGGACCTATTCTTTTCCTCCTTAATCCAGTTATTGTACTAAAATGTCTTATGATAAATGCTCTCCCTTTTTCTCTGCCAGGGTTTTGTCATGAATTTGCAGCCATCTGAAGCAGAAGCAGGCTTTGATATTAGGGTCCCACCAACTGCTGATCAGGAGTCCTTGGAGAGACGGATAGCTGAAGAATGGGCCCCTTCTTCACGGAACATGACATTTATGGTAATTAGTGTATTGATTTTATCTTATGAAGTATAAGATTATTGAATACTTGAGAAAATAAAAGTATTTCTTAAGTAATACGTGGTAAGGCAGAATGAAAAACACTTCAAATCAGTACTACTTCTATTGAAGTTTAAATACATTAACAAATAGACAGTACTAAGAAACCGATATAAGGGTACATCCATGGTTGCAGTGCACTAAAATCTAAAACCAACTGAAGAAAGCTATGTTGTGAAAGGATAAGTGATTCATAGCCTCCCATCCTTGATCAGATAATGCATAGAGCTTTCCTCCCTACAAATGTATAAATGCACCGGTGGTGTTGTTCATTGCCAGTATTTGTCATCAATAGTTGTTTCCTAGTATTTTCTGGTTTTTGAACCGTTTATGATTCGTTGTCCTGTTAATTTGCCCTAAGCTCAGGTGCATTGCATCTGTGGGAAGTACAATTACCGAAGACCTATTATTTTAAGTTTTGAAAGCTTGTGCATTTACGCATATAATGAAAAATGAATAGTTAAAATACATGCCAGTTTCTCTACTTATCTTTGTAGCGTGGGCAGTTCAAGCAGAAGGTTTCTGTGCTTGACGACTCAGGGAGGCCAATCCTTACGGCAACTGACAGTTCAAACCCCTGGTGGGGCCTTCTAGAAGAAGCTGTCAAAAAAGCTGACGGGAAACTTGGTAAGCCAGAGATTTTCCCTGCTTCAACAGACGCTCGCTACTTCCGGCTACTGGGTTTGCCAGCAATCGGATTCTCTCCTATGGCTAACACTCCTATTCTCCTTCACGACCACAACGAGGTGAATGGCCAAGTTGATATTTTGATTCTTCTGTTTGCATTTGCATCCTTGGTGTCTATGAATTTAATCTTTCTGCTGTTTCAATTTATAAGCTAGACTGAAATTTCGTAATATGAACATATTTTTCTTTTTCACCATGCAGTTTCTAAACAAAGACGAATACTTGAAAGGAATTGAGATTTACGAATCTATTATCAAGGCTTATGCATCTTACGTTGATCATGGAAGAAGCGCAGGGTCCAGAGATGAGTTGTAATTCTGGAACAGCGGCTTGTCTCGTTCCTTTTTTCTCAAGAGAGGTGCCTTGTGTTTTTGCATTTTTGTAATATAATGGGAGATGAGAAATGTCCCGGTACCGTCTGTATAATGTAACAATAAGGCGGAAGCAAGCATGAGCTTAACCAAACAACGCACAGGATTTTATTTTATTTTCATAGATATAAATATGGTTTTAGGGAGATATATTGGTTAATCCCTCATGGTATTCCAATTTTTTTTTCTCCGATAATTTTTCATTTCATCGAAAAAAGAAAAGAAAAGAAAAATTATACCAATTTGGTTACTTGGATGTTCCTAACCCAATTCAATGATATCCATTCTTTCTCCATGAAATTTTCTAATTTCATTATATGGTCTTCAAATTAAGATAATTGTTATTCATCGTCTCAAGGTGGTGTTGGTATGAAATCCAGTAGCAGGAAACAAAAAAGAACAAGAGCATTTATAAAATCTCTGAAACAAATGAATTTCCATTCATTATTTGGGCAAGAAAAACATGTATTCCTATTCTACTATTCAAACAACTCTGATCAAATCTTGGCAATGAAAAATGCAAAGTGACCACAAGAACTTTGAGGCAAATTCAAACAAGATAATAATATTCTTATTTTTACTGATGTTATAGACTCGTAGGTGAGTCACAAGCCAGAGGCAGAGGATGATGGGTCAGCTCTCAGGTGCATTACAAATGGCAAAATGAAAAGAAACAAGAATGAAAAAGAACAAAAGAAAATGAATAAGAACAGAAGAACGGAAGAATTAAAACGAAAAACATAAGAGAAGAAGAAGGATCGAAGAAGATGAAGAACACAAGAGAAGAAGAAGAACGGAAGAATAAAAAGGAAGAACAGAAGAGAAGAAGAAGAAAATGAAACACATAAAGAATTCACCCAGAATTTAAGATATATGCAAAATGTCATGAGGATGGTGATGGCGACGATGTAGAGGACATTTGTCTGAGGGACATGATAACTGACATGCCATTAGAATGATTGTGGCTTGTGCTTATCTCGTGTATTTGATACTTAATAACTAGTGACTAGTAATTGATGGTTTGAGTTAATACGTTGTTGTGTATAGGTTTTATGTTGCGATGATCTTATTATATTATCCCAAAATGAATATTGGATGTAGTAAAATATTGGAGGAAACTAATTCGTTTCTATATGTAGAATGATTTGGGAGAAGAGTATGAGGAGACTAATAGGATAAAGAAAATAGAGATATCATCATACTAAGACTATACAAAATCCTTTACCAGAATAAATTGTAGTCTTCAGTGTCTTTCCCGCTCGAGAGGAGCCTCTTCATCTTCTCTTCTGAATAGTAAAAAAAGAGGACAAATGAAAGGCCCAATTTTAGTCTGCAACCATTAACAGAGTTAGGCATTGGATTCTACGAGTAAATTAATCATTTTGAAAAACATATTCAATTACCGAAAACTACACTTAAAATCACGAGAAAAACTTATGCGCATGGCTTACCACAGCCTCAAATGCGACACTACTTTTAAAGGAACAATCTTTTCTTCTTTAATCATGCATCATGGTTTTGTCCACAATTAAACAAAGTGTTGTTACATGAGACATGTAAACAGTTTTGATGGGAATACAAATTCCAACCTGAATTTGCAATAATTCACAACTAAGGAGGCATAAAGCAAGGCATTTCTGTACAAGCACTTTTTCTAGTGTCCAAACTGAACAAGGACTTTGAGAAACACTGCAAGTGCAAATGAAAAAAAAACCAGGGTTCGTGCATCCAAACTTTGGGCCTTCCTTCAACCTTCACTCAGACGTGGAGACAAACAATAGGCAAAGGAAAGGGTTACATCAAACATCAAATTTTTGGATGGAGGGAGATACAAAATGGGGCAGGCTGATTGGGAATTTTTGTAGGAGATATTTAGTGATATATTCATTATTAGCACTAATATTATAGATAAACTCTACACAATTGAATTTCTATAAACAAACCCAAAAATTCACAGCTGGCCTTATTAAATTTAATATTAATTATTAAATTACTTTGATGCCCTATTGAGTGTTATGAGTATTTTTATGAGATTTTGGGGTTGTGATTGTTTTAAGAAATTGATGACAGTTTTGTAATTTATAAGAAGTTAAAAGACTCTTTGTTATGTTGTAAATGGGCTTTGGGTGTGTTTCTAAAGTCAATTTCATATAAAGTATTTTTATAATTTGGGCCCCTATATTGAGTATAATAGTGAATCTCCTTTTTTGTAATCCTCAAATACGCTTGTGGTGCTGATAAGAATCGATGATGGTTATAGAAACATTGTTCATCCACAAATCACGCACCCATAACTGTTTTCCAGCAGAGGACCATCATTGAGATTATCACACAGATAATCACACAGTTAATGATTTGATTATCTTGTAAGAGAAAAGTGTAGCAGAAAAGATTCTATTTTTGTTCCAAAATAATTTCATCAAAGTGTACTATTCACTGAAGTCATAGACAAAAAAACATTTTCAAATTCTCTCCCTCTTCTTTCTTACTATTTATTAGGAGCCAAATTCTTATAAAATCCTAAGCCAATTCTTATTTATTTAAGATTATAAACAAATAATTCATTAAAATTAACAAAAATGATTCTTTTTACATAATTATTGAAGGAATACTAATTAATTTCACATTTTTCGCACAAGCCACTAACACATATTTCTTCAAATTCACAACGAGAAAATGTGCCATCTTCTTCTTTTTCTTCTTTTCCTTATTCTTTTTTCTCCCAAAATAAATCTTATTGATGCTATCATTCTCTGGTGTATGACTTTGAGTTATATGTACAGACCCACGCATCTACCTGAATACTATCTTGAAGCCAGAAAAATGCAAATAGAAAAAAGTTTAGAACTTTATTTTCATCTTAAATGAGTATCTATTCTCCTCAGGCATGCGAAAACTCAGGTCCGGCTTATGAATCTCATCATCATCTTCTTCTACCAATAATCCCCACAAGAGCATACCCCATCTTGAAAATGATGGTACCGGATGGGATCTCTTATCACAATAACTCTCTCCTCCATCTTTGCTACAAGTTTTGCAAATATATGACAGTCTCCACAGATCCTCAGGTTTTTCCTTATCCTAACAGTCCTCCCCTTTGACAAGCTCATTATACCAAAGACAATTGCCAATTTCTCGCTGTGGGATAGAAGCGAAACTTCCCTCTGTTCTCCCTCAAGATCTTGCAAAACAAAATTCGTGTCTGGAACGTATCCCATTCCCATTAGTCTATCAACCAACAGGCTCAGCTGTCTATTGATCTCATCTATTTGTGGATGTGAGTCATCTCCCATAATAAAAGCATGAATCTGTTTGTCCACTTCAATCCAACTGCACCCTGGTTCTTTAGTAACTCCTCTAGCTCTCATGCTCTTCCTAACTTCTGCAACATCTTCCCATCTCTGAGAATTGGCATATATGTTGGACAATAGTATGTAGGTTCCGGCATCATCAGGGTCCATTTTAAGAACTTGCTTGGCAGCATATGCAGCTAAATCCACATTGCGGTGAACCCGGCACGCACCGAGCAAAGTCCTCCATGTCACTGCATCTGGTTCACATTCCATTTCTTGAATTAACCTTGCTGCCTCATCTACCTTCCCAGCCCTTCCAAGAAGATCAATTACACAACCATAGTGCTCTCTTCCTGGATCAATCCCGAAAAGCTGCTTCATATTCTGGAAGTAGTACCACCCATCTTCTAAAAGGCCAGCATGACTACAAGCAAATAGAACCCCAAGAATTGTGATGTAGTTTGGCTTCGTCCCCGAAATTTTCATCTGCTCAAACAATCTCAGTGCCTCTTGGCTGAAACCATTTTGTGCTAACCCTGCAATCATGGTGCTCCAAGAGATTACATCCTTCTCCACCATCCTGGTAAAAACAGAGTTTGCATCTTCCAAGCTCCCACATTTACAATACATATCAAGAAGGGCATTGTTCAGAATTAGATCTTGACCATACTTTACTGCATGAACATGAACTTGTCTGCCCAATTCTAAAAGCGCTAACACCGTGCAAGCTCTCAGAACACTTGTTAATGTGGCCTCTTCAGCTGCAAAACCAGCCCCCTTCATCCTCTTGAAAAGGTTCAGAGCCTCATCACCATCGCTGTTCTGAGCAAAAGCTCCAATGATAGAGTTCCAAACAACCAAATCTCCAGTCACCATCTCATTGAAAACGCCTAGTGCATTATGCAACTCACCCAATTTCGAGTAAACGTCAATGAGAGCACTCCGAACAAAAACGTCAGATTCTAACCCTACTCTAATAATACTACAATGAAGCTGCTTGAGATACCATAACCCGTCGCAAGCTCTCAAAACCGATGAGTAGGTGAAGCTATTAGGCATCACATCTTCTCTAAGCATCAAAACCAAAGACTCCAAGGCCTTGTGGTTTAGCTTGGCATTAGAGTAAGCCGATATCATTGTCGTCCAGGAAACAACGTTTCTCTCAGGCATTTCGTCGAACAACGACTGTGCTTCCTCCAGGAGACCAAATTTCACGTACATGTTGATGAATATGTTAGTTAAAAAGGTCTTGGGCCGGTACCCATTTGAGAAAACGTGCTTGTGGACAAGCTTGCCCTGTTGAACAGCTCGACGAGCCAAGCAGCACTTGACGAGCTCCGAGTAGACGAGGGAGTCGGCCCAAAGTCCACGCCTTTGCATGGCTTCCATAGCTGTCATTGCTCTGGGTAGGTCTCTCTGGTAGCAAAACTTTGTGAACTCATCAACCAGAGTGGACGGCGGTGGTTCTGCCACGCTAGCCATGTGAGAGCAAGAACGTGACAATGAAAATGGGGGCCATGCTTTGCATTTCAACTTGGAGATGGGGATGGCTCTCATTTTTGAGAAGAACAGAGTGAGAGGGAAGGCGCATTGCTAATTGGCATTTGCCAGGTAAATGTGTTCTTTTGGGTAGTGGATCAACCAATATTAACTAAATGACTCAAACACACACCAAGCCTATTATAATTGAAACGCAGCGTTTCGTCCATTTAAAAACATACGCACCGTTTAAGCTGCGAGGGAGGGACAGTGGGAAAGAGTCCTTGTAGTCATAACCAAAATAGAGAGACGTGTCAGCAAAGCAAAAGAAGAAGTTCCAAATCCGTTTGTCTTCTTCTTCGCCAATCGCCGCCCCCAGCCGGACCGGCAGCAACCGCGTCGATGACTCAGTGAGCGCGTTAGGGTTTAGAAATCGGATTCGCGCGTTTCTGAGATTGGAGATGTCTCTGAGAATCAAAATTGTGGTGGACAAGTTCGTCCAGGAGCTCAAGGAAGCTTTGGATGCCGATATCCAAGACAGAATCATGAAGGAGAGAGAGATGCAGAGCTACATCGAAGAGCGCGAACGCGAAGTCGCCGAGCGCGAAGCTGCTTGGAAAGCTGAGCTCTCTCGCCGCGAGGTTCTTTTTTCTACCACTTATTCGATTAAGTTCTTTAATTTTTTTCATTCAGACTTTCTGCCAAACAACTCTAGTGCAATCCTATTTTCTGGTTTGAATTTAATTTTTTCATCATGGGTATCTCTGTTTTGTTTGTTTAGATTATCAATTTTGTTTCTTTTTTGTTTGATTTAAGAACCCAATTGGATTTCAATTTCTTCTTGTTGCAGAGATGCAGAGGCACCAAATTTGAAGTTCAAATTGGTGTTACTTTGCGTAGTTAAGCAATGATAAATATGCCCAATTGTCTACAGTTATGAATTCGTTTTATTGTTGAATGCAACCTTACCAAGTTCACATCAAGCTCAGTTCTTTTCACTCTTCATGACCAAGTTGCTTTTTAACCATGCCCAGCCAGCAACTTCTCTTGTTAATATCTGAATTAAATGCTATGTGGGTGTTAAAAATATCAATAGAAGCTAGATGCAGTTTTCTCAGGACCATAAGTTTTTCTCTGCTTAGCTGCGTAGCTTCTTGCGTGTTTATTACTAGTCCAGACTGCTTCATAGGAAATTCAGAAGAGCTGCGTAGCCTGTAATCACGTTTATTTTTGAAAATATTTGCTTGCAATTGCTAATTTATCAAACATTTAAGTTCCGTTGGAGGTGCTGATGCACTTCTGTTTTCTGTTTTAGCTTCATGAACATTGTTCTGTTTCAGGCAGAGATTGCCAGGCAAGAAGCAAGGCTGAAAATAGAGAAGGAAAACCTTGAGAAAGAGAAAAGCGTTCTAATGGGAACTGCTTCTAATCAAGATAACCAAGATGGAGCTCTTGAAATCACCGTAAGCGGTGAAAAATACCGGTGTCTCAGGTTTGCGAAGGCAAAGAAATGAGCCATTAGAAAAAGGAAGGCTGAAGAAAGAAGCCAACAAATGCCCCAAGTCTTGTCATTTCATATCATTCAATACAAATGTGGCTTGAAGGAAATTATTTAACCTTTTGGTGTAAGTTCTTTCTGCGAAAATGGATTAAGCAATATTGAGAGTGGAGTTCCGTATCTAAGCAATATTGTACATTAGTGATTCCTTTTTTAAAGAGTCAAACTTCTCCTTGCGTTGCGGATGGGTCAGCCAAGTGTTAAAAGTCTTGGCACATCATTTTTAAAACTAAAATGTGTTAAAATCTTAGCACATCATTTTTAAAACTGAAATCCGACCATCTTCATTTGGTCCATGAATATCTAAGAGTTGAATACTATAATTTGATGGATTTTTAAAGCATCTACTGAACGTGATAGGAAATTTTGGTGGAGTTTTAGCGAAATATCCAAAAGAGTTCAATTGCAGAGACTGAACTTTAACCTAATATTCAATTACATTCCACTATAAAATTGAAAGTAGTTCTCGAGTATGTCTTTATAGGAGATCTGTGTAGCATTGAAGCTTCCCATCTCTAAATTTACTCTACTTCTTTGATTTGTTGTTATGCTTCCTACTACACATTAAACATGTTTTATACTAGCCTAGACTGCTTCATAGGAAATTCAGAAGCAATTTCTTCACGCCAATGTGAGAGATAACAAATAAATTAGTTTCCTCCAACATTTCACTGCATTCTATAATTGTGTTAAGATAATATAATAAGGTCATAAAAAACATAGAATTTACCAAAAAAAAACATATGAACTCAAACTAGCAATTGGTAGTTATTAAATATCAAATGAACGAAATTATCACAAACCACAATCATTTCATTCCAATGGCATGTCAATAATCATGTCCCTCACACAACTATGCCCTGCACACCACCATCACCATCCTCATGACATTTTGTGCACATTTCTAGAGAAGTTATAAACTTTTTTTGGGTACAACATTAACGTTTTAATGAATTCTTATGTTTTTCATTTCCTTCTGTTCTTCATGTTTTTATATTCTTCTTATTCTCTACTGCTCTTCATCTTATGTTTTTCATTTTAATTCTTCCCTCTTCTTTTTCAATTCTCTCTTCTTCATCTTCTTCTGTTCTTCTTCTTCAGTATGGCTTCTTTTGGTTAAACTAATTACAACGTTACAACAAGAAATGCAAGATTGTCCCAAATGTTTAAATCTGAGCGAAAAACTAAAGAAAAAAAATTAGCCAAAAGAATAAACTGAAAACACATAAATTAAAAGCTGAAAAGAGTAACCAAATGTTGATACCAAGTTATATGTCAATTATGAAGAACTCAAAAGCAACCAAATGTTGACATATAAATATATAACATAGTAACAATACATAAAAATTAAATACCAAAAACATAATAATACGAAGACTCTTTATATAAAAATAAAATAAAATAAAATATTCAGGATATATTCTGTGATAAAGAGTCTGAAATTTTTTTTTCTTTTTTTCTGAGAAGAATCCAGACTCTGTTTGTATTATGAAGGACGCAAATATCAGCAAAAAATAAACAAATTGAGGATGAAAAAATGATTGACAATTTGACAAACCTCTTTGATTACGAAACTGAGCTAGAATATTATTCTCTGAGAGCTCTTGAGAGAGATTATATACAGAGAGGAAGGGGAGAGAGAAAGCAACTGAGAGAGGATACACGGGTGAAGGTTATCGGATTGATGGAGTTGGTGGGATGTCAGATCGATCTTTATGCTTTCCATGTTTTGTGTTGGAGGTCTTTTCAGAAGAGGGATGAAAGCAGAAGGAAGAAGCCTGCATCACAGGGCTAAGCTTCGGCGCCCGAGCCGACGGTCGAACTTGGATCTCAGTGCCCTGATTTTAGTTATCTTTTGATCAGCTCTTTCTCATCATGTGAATTTGTTCGCTGTAGGCATTTGCAGTCATTTTGCTCTATTTTGACAAGGAGATACAACTGGTGTTCGTAATTTCAAGCCTTCATGGCAGTATGAAAGGAGGCATACCAGTCTCCACGTGTCAAATAGTATAGCTGGGCGGCTATACTATTAATAAAAACAGTAATATACCCGAGCGACCATAATATTTTTAATATAAAAAATCCTGGTATCGCCGTTCGGCTATACTATTTATAAAAGGGAGTTTCACTAAAACACCCAAAATGGGGGCTGAAATTATAAAAAAACTCAACACCCAAAACACTTTATAAACACACAAAAAACCCATCATTACACACACTCAAAACCCATTTATAAACACACCCAAAAAATATACAATTGTTGATTTTGGGTGTGTTTCTATGTTTAAATAGTGCTTGGGTTTTTTTTATAAATACATGTCTAGAATTGGGTTTATTTATAAATTTGTATATATGAAATTAAAAAAGGCCCCTCTGGTGCGTAGCGCCATTTTGCCACGTGTAAAAACTAGTACAGCCGTGCGGCTATACTAGTTATATAATTAAAAAAATCGTACAGCCGGACGGCTATACAATTTTTAATATTAAAATCCAAAAAAAAGACGGCCCGCCTGGTGCCTAGCGCCATTTCGCCACGTGTCCAAAATAGTCGAGCCGTCCGGCTATACTATTTTTATATAATAAAAACCATAGTATAGCCGAGCGGCGATACTATTTTTAATATAAAAACCCGGGTATAGCCGGCCGGCTATACTATTTATAAAATAAAAAAAAGACGACCCACCTGGTCCCTAGCGTCCATTTGGCCATGTGTTAAAAATAGTATAGCCGCCCGGCCATACTATTTTTTATATAATAAAAACCGTGGTATAGCCGTTCGGCTGTACTATGTTTAATATAAAAAGGGAGTTTCACTAAAACACCCAAAATGGGGGTTGAAATTATAAAAAAACCCAAGTACTATTTAAACATATAAACACACCCAAAACCCATCATTACATACACTCAAAACCCATTTATAAACACACCCAAAAAGTTGACTTTGGGGTTGATTTTGGGTGTGTTTCTATGTTTAAATAGTGCTTAGGTTTTTTTATAAATACATATCTAGGATTGGGTTTATTTATAAATTTGTATTATAAAAAACTCCAAGTCCCGATTTATAAAATAAATAAAAACATAAATTGATGACCCGATGTAGAATTTTATTTTATTTTTTTATTTTTTATTATCGGGGATGCGAGTTGCTGTCGTAGTCATAGAGAGAAGCCCAGGTTGTTGAGGTCAGGCGCACACCCACAGGCGTCAGAACTCATAAGGCCATAGCGTAACGCCATAACCCAGTTTCAAAAACAATCCGTCAGCTTTCTCGCATTTTCTGCACCCTGCTCTGCTCGGTACCATCGCCGGCAAATCACCCCCCTATCATCCAAGTTTCGCCAGATTGTCTCCACAGGGTCTCGTAAGTACCTTTCATTCCTCTCTCTTCTCTTCTGAGTTTGGGTATCAATTTATGAATTTGATGCCACTCGTTGCATATAATTTGTACGCTATGATTGATTTATCTACCCGTTAAAGATTCTACTATTAAATAGTAAAATGGGGTTGAAAGTGAATTGTTAATAGTTACATTGGGCATGAAATATATCTCAAAAGGGGTGTTGGGCAATTTTATGTTGGGGTTTTGCATGAAATTTGATCAGAACTGTGCATGAATGTTGTTATCTTCTTTGCATTATCTGGTTTTCGATAGATGAGAGACTGTAAATTTTAGCATAAGGTGCAAGAAATGTGATACATTATGGGCCTTTTTCCATTGATAGGGTAGAGGTTCTTCATTTCTTCTCTTATTTCTTGCGATTCCTACCTACCCACCAGTGAAGTACATTTTTCTATTTAGGAAATTTGGTTTCTGTTAACCTGCAGATTAATTATGAACAGTTTATATGGTGGGCGCTATAATGTGGTATTGCACGGATGTCAATGCGAAAATATCTGTTAAGGGGAGTGTTATTCGCACTCCCTACCTATCGTCCTCCTGTATTCCAGCGCAGGATTGGTGTGGGGGAGTGCCTAGTAAAAGTCAAAGAAAATTTGATATATCAGCACATAAATTATGATTACTATGAAGTTGGAATTGAGGCTCTACTGAGTATCTGTAATGATTTCTCATTAATTGGATCAATAGTGTGTACAGATTGTTTATACATTTCTAGTTTAACTGTTGTCAGGCTGCCGAGTTAATTTATCTTTAGGGAAAATGGGTGTCAAATTTCTCAAAATTCCTGTAACGTACACGGATTGTTCAATTCAAATATCTGGTTGCAGTCCCTAACTTTTGTAATAATATATTTGTATTTATCACCAGTCACTGGTTTTATTATCTTTGAAAGCTTCTGGTTACTTCGATTTTTTTGTTTTTTTGGTTTTCCTAAGGCAGCTACCTGCATTTCAGGGCTCAGTGAATCACCATTGAACTTTGTTATGGCCATAGGGATTATTAGACAAGGATGTCTGGGAGACGAAACATTCCGTTGTCTTTTGAGCGACGTCCCATTCAATCTCCAGGTATGATGCGGCATGGTCCATTGCCTGGGTTAGGGCGGTCTCCTGGTCACCGACCATTTGAGGCACTACCACGTCCTGAACTATTGGAAAATAAAATTGCATATCAAGCAGCAGAGATAAAACAACTGACAGGAGACAATCATAGACTGGCAGCTGCTCTGTTGATTTGAGGCAGGATCTTTTAGCTGCTGAAGAGGAAGTACAGAGGCTCAAAGCACATATGAGAAGCATCCAGACTGAGTGACATTCAGCAGGGCGGCTATAATATCTTGTTACAAAAGGTCAGGAAAAAACCCAGTATAGCCGAACGGCTATACTATTTTTAACCAAAAAACCCGCGTATAGCCGCCCGGCTATACTATTTACAAAATAAAATAAAAATGGAGCCAGGTTTCAAAAATATTATAGCCGCACGGCTATACTATTTGTAATATATAAAAATCCGGGTATAGCCGGGCGGTTATACTATTTATAAAATATAAAAAAGGCCTGACGCCTAGAGCCCGTTTAGCCATGTGTTAAAAATTGTACAGCCGAGCGGCTATACTATTTTTAGATAGTATAGCCGACCGGCTAGCCTATTTTTGTATAAAAAAATCCGCGTATAGCCGACCGGCTATACTATTTATAAAATAAAAAAAAGTGGACCCGCCTAGAGGTTGCGCCCAATTTGCCACGTGTCAAAATAGAATGGCCGCCCGTTTATACTAAAAAGGGTAGTATAGCCGGCCGGCTATTCTATTTTTAATAAAACACCCAAAATGGGGGCTGAAATTATAAAAAAACCCAACACCCAAAACACTTTATAAACACACCCAAAACCCATTTATAAACACCCAAAAAATAAACAGTTGTTGATTTTTGGGTTGATTTTGGGTGTGTTTCTATGTTTAAATAGTGCTTGGGTTTTTTTTATATTTTATTTTATTTTTATAAATACATGTCTAGGATTGGATTTATTTATAAATTTGTATAAAAAATATCCCGGTATAGCTGACCGGCTATACGATTTATAAAATTTAAAAAAAATCTTTCGCAAAATAGTATAGCCGCCCGGCTATACGATTTATAAAATAACTAAAAAGAGGACCGCATGGCTCCTATGGCCATACATGTCAAAAATAGTATAGCCGCCCGGCCATACCCCTTTTTAATAATAAAAAACTAGTATAGCCGTTCGGCAATATAGTTTTTAAAAAGTCCGATTATAGCCGCACGGCGGTACTAGATATTTAAAAAAGCCCCCCTGCCGCCACTACCATTTTTTCCCGTGTCAAATAGTATAGCCGACCGGCGATACCCTTTTTATATAATAAAAACCATAGTATAGCCGCTCGGTCTTACGATTTTGAATATTAAAAAAATCCGAGTGGACCCGCCCGGCTGTACTGTTTATTCTCTGAGAGTTCTTGAGAGAGATTGTAATACAGAGAGGATGGGGAGAGAGAAAGCTACTGAGAGAGGATACGCGGGGGGAGGTTATGGGGGTTATTGGATTGATGGAGTTGGTGGGAAGTTTTTGTGGAGTTTCCCACGATGTGGGCTCTCTTTCTTTGCCAGAATTATACACGTTCATATTTTAAATTTTAAATAATTTTTTTGGGGTATTTTTGTCCATGAAGTCTGTGATCAACTGCTTTTGGTCTGTCTTTGTAACTGCTTTTGAAATATTCGAATAAGATCACCACACTCACACTCAGAACTGTAATTAGCAGAGGCTGGAAGATAACAACCGTTCCAAAATGGGCAATATGAGCCTTGAGTTCTTGGACGTCAGATTGATCTTTGTGCTTTCCATGTTTTGGGTTGGAGGTGTTTTTGGCAAAGGGGTGAATTCAGAAGGAAGAAGCCTGCATCACAGGGCTAAGAACTCTGCTGTTTTTGACGTGATGAGCTTCGGCGCCCGAGCAGACGGTCGAACTGATGACAGCAATGTTGGATCTCAGTTCCCTGTTTTAGTTTTCTTTTTATCAGCTCTTTCGCATCATGTGAATTTGTTTGCTGTAGACATTTGTAGTTTTAGCTCTACTTTGACAAGGAGATACAACTGGTGCTTGTAATTTCAGGCCTTCATGGCAGCATGGAAGGAGGCATGCCAGTCTAGAGGTAGGGTACACATTACGATACCGAAAGGGACATACATAATTGGCCCTATTAAATTCTCAGGCCCCTGCCTAAACGTATCGTCTCTGACGCTTCGCGTGAAGGCAAGACTTGTTTTTATGCTGCTACATTTTTTACATTATATCATCAACTATCAAGACATTTGCTGACGGCTTTGAGAAATAATTGCTTGCATTGCAGGGTTATTTGAAGGCTACAACGGACCTGCGCAAGTATGGATTTGGTGGCGGTTGGCTCGAATTTGCATGGATGGAGGGGCTAACCTTGACCGGAGGTGGAACCTTTGATGGCCGAGGTGCTCGAGCCTGGCCTCACAACAAGTGCCCCACAGACTCCAACTGCAAGCTTCTTCCAACTGTATGCTCCATAGCTTTCTCTTTCTGTTCTTAAATTGTACACTTTTTATAGCTAATTGGAAATCAATTTCTCCTTCTCAGAGTTTGAAATTTGTGGCAATGAATAAGACTGTCATCCGAGGCTTAACTTCAGTGAACAGCAAGTTCTTTCACATAGCTCTTGTAGAATGTCACAACTTCAAAGGTAGCAGGCTCAAGATTTCAGCCCCCGAAACAAGTCCTAACACCGATGGCATCCACATCGAACGAAGCTCTAGTGTCTACTTCTCTCTGTCGCATATTGCCACCGGTGATGACTGCATCTCGGTTGGACAAGGAAATTCTCAGATCACCATAACAAGCATCACTTGTGGACCTGGCCATGGCATCAGGTACTTTCAATTTAATGAAATAGTACTTACTTATGTATGAAGCTTACTTAGCCTGATTAACACGTATTTTGAGGTACATGTTTGCATTTTTTTTTCAATCATAGTGTGGGAAGTCTAGGAAAATATCCAGACGAAAGAGATGTCAGTGGACTTGTAGTGAAAGACTGCACCATGACAGGTACCACCAACGGCATTAGGATCAAGACATGGGCTAACTCTCCCGGCAACAGCGCAGCCACGAACATGACATTCGAAAACATTGTCATGAATAATGTGACCAATCCGATCATAATCGATCAATTGTATTGTCCATTCACATCCTGCACTTCTAAGGTGACCAAATTTTCCAGGCATGTAGTAAAAGTGCTTCATTTCTGGTTTGAGTTTTATTAGGTTGAACAAAATGCCATCCTGATCATATTATATACTATCTTATTGAATTTGTATAAAATTTTGCAGGCGCCATCCAGAGTGAAGCTGAGTGACATATACTTCAAGAACATAAGAGGGACATCATCGTCGGAGGTGGCAGTGGCTCTTGAATGCAGCGAAGGGATCCCATGCCAGAATATTTACCTTGAAGATGTTCACTTGGACCTGTCATCTGGGGAGAAACAAGCAACTTCAAGTTGCAGCAATGTCAGAGCTAAATTCAGTGGCACCCAAATCCCACCTCCATGTACTTAGTTGCTTGCCACTTTGTTTGGTGGATTTGGGAGATCCTAATAGTTAATTTCCACTTGAAATTTGATGTTTGGACTTCAATGCTGTCTCAGGAACACTGCACTACTTCCATGAAGAATTTAGAGTTTTTCTTTTCTGTTTCGGTGACTAATTATCTCTCTCTTAGCTGTGCTAGCAAAGACCATGGAAGTTGCAAAAGACATTTTTCTTTTAGATATTTTAACAAAGATATAATTTGGTTTGGCTTGGACTATGAATATCACCCTTCTAGACTGGACTTGTAAGACACAATATGTTGGACTGTTGTTCAATTTATAAGTTCATCAAACAGCGATCGGAACATGAATCTAATTGAAATAGTCTAGTTCATGGCGAGACTTCAAACGTGGATCATTAGAAAAAGTGGAAGTGTTGAGTATATTTGTTTACAAAAGAAGGTGTTTAGATACACACTCAAGCATCATGAATTTTCGAGTGGAAGCTATTCTTCATAATGTAATGGCCATCCTCTGTTGGTTGAATAAAATAAGCCAATTCCAATATTTCCCCCAAAAAAAGAAAAGGGTGCATAGATTATGTAAGCATCCTATCCTCATCTTCATAAAAACACCAAAACAGAAAAATGATACTGATTATTTGGAAGAAATAAAATAAAATAAAAAATAAATAAAAAAGCATTTTGTAAAACATAAAATATCCAAAGTTTAAAATTCCAAAACATCATATCAGTCGTACCAATAAAATCTAGATAATCAACGCATACATAGTAATTGAATCACGACCGCACACGTGTCTCGTATATGAGGAAATGGGCTCAAAAAGTAAAAAGCATATTAGAAGAATAATTTATTATATCCTAGTGTTCATTTTCCCACACGCATTGTGGATTTTGTCCACTTGCTTGCTCTGTCCTCTGTGTGTATATTAGTAAGGCGAAGGAAGAAGAAACAAAGTCGGAATTTTTGAGAGAGAGAGAGAGAGAGAGAGAGAGAGAGAAGAAGAAGAAGAAGAAAATAAGAAGATGGAGAGCGCATCAGAAATGGTGGCATTTCCATTGCTGACGACGCCGATCGAATCGAACTACAGAGCCTGCACCATCCCCTTCAGGTTTCCCTCCGACAATCCTCGCAAGCCAACCCCGACTGAGCTGGCATGGGTCGACCTCTTCCTCAACTCCATCCCTTCCTTCAAGTAATCTCCATCTTCCTCAGCTCCATGATCAACCCTAATTTCTTCTTCTTTTTCGTGTTAATGGGTTTGGTTGGTTTTTTGGGGGCAGGAAGCGAGCTGAGACCGATGCTGTTGACGATGCTCCGGCTAGAGCTGAAAAATTTGCTCAAAGGTTAGTGATTGTTTTGTGATGAGTTTATTGATTGGTGATGAGGTCGGTTTTTGGAAATGTATGTAATGTGTTTGTATTTTTTACTGAAAGGTACTCTGGGATACTTGAGGACTTGAAGAAGGACCCTGAGAGTCATGGTGGCCCACCAGATGGCATTGTAAGCTCAAAATTTGTTTGGTTACTAGTTTTCGTTGCAGTTGTGATATCATCTCATCTTCTTACCATGGAACATTTCTGCTGGGGCGAAATAGGCTCTCTTTGCAGACTTCGTGAGCAAGTCCTTAAGGAGTTGGGGTTCAAGGATATATTTAAGAAAGTCAAGGTGAGTGCTTGCTAACTGTTATAGAAAACTTTTCCAATGCATTTTGTCAATACTTAATTGACAAAGAGTTCCAAATACTGATCAAACACTTCAGGATGAAGAGAATGCAAAGGCCATATCCCTGTTTGAGAATGTAGTGGATTTAAGTGATGCTATTGAAGATGAAGGAAAGCGCCTAGAGAATCTCGTTAGAGGGATATTTGCTGGAAACATATTTGATCTTGGTTCTGCACAGGTATGCAATTTTCTTATTGTTGTAGAACTAGTAAGTATTTGATACCTGACTAAAAGCCTTCACTCCCCACTACTTGAATTTGGTCACATAAATTTTTTACATACATCATACTTATTCTTAGGATATGCATGACAAAATGGTTTTTGTTACACAATTACTTGTTAATATTAAAGCAATACTTTATCTATACAACTTCTTTCAGTGGCAACTGCTTGACATTTACTTGTTTTTATGTTCTTGAAGCTCGCAGAAGTTTTCTCAAAGGATGGTATGTCCTTTTTAGCTAGTTGCCAAAACCTTGCCCCTCGACCCTGGGTTATTGATGACTTGGACGCTTTCAAATTGAAATGGAGCAAGAAATCTTGGAAAAAGGCAAGTTCCATGTGTATGTTATAGATCTCTCTGAAAGAAGTTATGCCATTATATATGCTTTATATGTATTAACCAATTGTCCTTTTTATGTTTTGGTGTTCACAGGCTGTTATATTTGTTGACAATTCTGGTGCGGATATTATTTTGGGAATTTTGCCATTTGCAAGAGAGTTACTACGGCGTGGGACACAGGTTTGCAGTCAGATCTTGTTTCTTCTGTTGAATGGTTCTTATGGTGGAAATCCCAGAAGTTTTCTAGCATCCTTTCTCTTTCTAAGAAAACTATATATGTATTCTTTAGTATGCATTTCTAAAGTTAAGTTGACTCTGTGCCAATTAAACCAGGCATGGAATGAGTATTCTGAGTTCTGGTGTCTTTTTGTTTTCCAAATTTCTTTCATGCTCGATTTTTGAATGAGTTGCCTTGTTAAGCCTATTTGCACATGATTATCTCCTTCTTTTATGCAGGTTGTGTTGGCAGCTAATGACTTGCCTTCTATCAATGACATAACTTACCCTGAACTGATTGAGATTATATCAAAGGTAATATAAAACTTTAGAATAACTTTTTTTCAAAATCTTGGATAATACTAATGTTATAAGTGGCAATTTACCAGTTAAAGGACAATGAGGGGAAGCTCAAGGGTGTTGATACTTCAAATCTTTTCATTGCCAATTCTGGTAATGATTTGCCGGTAAGGGAATGGAAGCTCTTGTTTGTTGTCCGATTGAATTGATGCATTCTGTTTCACGATTATGAATATTGTTACAGTTGTATAACATTAACCTTTTTGGTTTCTAAATTCCTTGCAGGTTATTGATCTTTCAAGAGTGTCACAAGAGATTGCCTACCTGGCGAGTGATGCAGACCTAGTTATTATGGAAGGAATGGTAAAAACCAACCCAGAAACTTACTTGGATTCTTATTATTATTGAGTCTTAATTGAATTATTGAACTGGTTGCTTTATTTGAAGGCTAGTTACGTGCATATATTGAAGTGTATAAAATGGACTCCATATAAATTGAGTAGACATGGATGTTAAAAGCGGTATAGTCGTGGGTAAAAGTCTAGTGGATGTGTAGAATGTCTTGAGATGATGTCATGTTAATATAACTTATATTGCTTTTGACAGGGTCGTGGGATAGAGACAAATCTTTATGCGCAATTTAAGTGTGATTCCCTCAAGATTGGGATGGTAATGCTTCCACTAGAATTTTCTGTTGCTTCTATACTGATTAGTTTAGTTGAGCATCCTTTGTGCATAATATTAACTTTGTGCAACTTCTGTTTGCTTCTCCCCTTTCTTTATCACAGGTGAAACATCCCGAGGTTGCCCAGTTTCTAGGAGGAAGGCTTTACGATTGCGTCTTCAAATACAATGAAGTTTTGTAGAGTTGATAATGTTGATTCTTGTCTTGTCTGTATTCTTAATCGAATTTATTCTAAGTCATCCAGAGTACATGAAGTATTAGATCTTAGCTACTGCAAGAGCTTTAAATATTTAAGACTTTGAAATTCAGCCTCCTGATAAATAAACGTGTCTACTGTTACACGTGGTTTAGATTAATCTCCCATACATGTGTTTTTGGGTGCATGTTGTGCAGGTCTGTTCACAGTAAACCTGTCTCTAGTCTAATTTCGATTAGAAATAAGAAATTTATTTCCTTATTGAATTCCCTTGATGATATTTTTGTGTTCGGTTTCGATAGAAGAAAGAGTGAGGGGGAGAAGAGAAACAATACAAATGGTTTTTTTTCTTTTCTTCATTTCTCTTTTTTCTTGTCTGTGTTACTACTGTTAAATTAAAAAGTAAAAATGAAAATTTCTTCTTAAATGCTCTGGGATGTTTCTACCTGCAAATGGAAAATGATAGTCTTTCCACAAAGTCATGCAAGAGTTAGATTTTGATATAGAGTAGTGCGCTCAGTTCAGTTGTAGCCTTTTTGTCATAAATTTCTTAGCAATTTTATTAATAAACTGGAAGGATAAGGGTACACAAATAAAATCCATCATTTGTGGAAGTACAACACAGAAGAAAAAAGAAAAAACAAAGGTTTTGTTTACCAAAGGAGATGCATGTTAATAGATCATTTCTTTTTGGTGGGATATGAAGCCATCTTGTTGATGCCACAGAGTCCTTCTGGCTTTCCTGTGTTCCTCTTCATCCTTACGTAGCCCTTCTCACCCCACTTTGGTCCCCATGAGTTCCTCACAATGATGTAATCTAACCCCTTTTGAGAACCATATCCAACGGCTGCTACACCATGATCAAGCTCAGTCCCACAACGCCCATTGAAGACTCCCTGCAAAAAACCAACAATCCATACAGTTAGGGTTAACCAATGTGTTTTAGGCATTAAACTGTGCATGAATAGGTTTTGAGTTCTAAAGAAAAAACCCACCCAAAAAAAAAAAAAAAAAAAAAAAAAAAAAAAAAAAAAAAAAAAGCCACCCACTACAACTGGAAATCTCTGCCAGAGGCGTCAATAGCTATGCTAAGAGGCTGATTAGCCAGTGCCTTAAGGAGAGCTTCTTCGTTATTTTCAGGCACGTCTTGATAACCGTTTATAGTCACCACCTCTGAAGCTCCCTGAAGATTGCAAAATCAAATGCAACTATAAGAACAGCCATGATCTGATGACAGCTAAATTTGATCAAAGAAGCAAAAGCATTATAATGCATTGCACCCCAATTAGTACCTTCTTTTTCTCACAATTGCCTTCCTCCATAAGATATGGGTAATCATCTTCCTTGTTAAGCCCACCATTGGACATTATAAACTGAAATGCATAATCCATCAAGCCCCCATTGCAGCCATTGTTGAATGATCTGTCACAATCTATCAGTTGCTGTTCAGACAGGGAAGTTAGGTTTCCTGTGACAATCTGGTTTATGCTCTCAACAGCAGCAACAGTAGAAAATGCCCAACAGCTACCTGCAGATTGTCATCTTTGCTCATTACTATATGATATAAGTACATATTACATATGGAGAGAGAGAGAGAGAGAGAGAGAATTCGGCACATACCACATGAACCTTGGTTCTTGACAGGAGTTACAGCTCCTTTCTTTCTCCAGTCCACGGATTTGGGCAATGCTTCAACATCAAAATCTCTATAACTGAAGTCTCCGGTGGACTCTCTCCTTCTTGTGGATTCGGGTTTTAGCCCCAAGTACTTGCTCTTGAACTCTTCATGGCTCAGGTCTGCAAACTCATTCACCCCAAGCCAGTAGCTATCAACATCAAGGTTCTTGTTCCTTTCATCAATGTGCTTCACATTGTCTCTGAATATCTCAAACCTATGCAGCTTCTCTTCCATGGTTTGGTAAATCTTGCTATGTTTCGATATCCACGATTCGAAGAGCATGATGAACTTGTCCATGCAAGTAAGGTCCTCAGGCGAATAACCCACGATCGAAAACTCGTGAGCCAGAGAAGAGCCCAGAAAGAGAGGCACAAGGAAGACCAGAAGGGACATCTTAGAGAAATCCATTGGTGATCAACAATAGAGAATAAGAGAGGTAAAAGAGAGGAAGAGATGGATGAATGTGAGAGAGGGAGGGGATGGAGTGGGTCTTATATAGTGTTTTGTTTTGATCATGAGGTTGCTTTCAAGTGAAGTGGTTGAATTGTTTTCTACAATACCAGTCTTTACGGTTGGTTCTTTTGGACAGGCTTTTGTCCCAAGCATGATCATTTGTTTAAGCATAAGCTTCAAACAAATATGATTTCACATACATGGGTGAGAGTTGCTAGCCGCCCTTATTCTACTATTCAGAGTTTTTTTTTTTTTTTTTTTTTTTTTTTTTTTTGGGTTGTTGTGTTATTTTTTTTGATTATTATAAACCATTCTCTAAATTTTGTCCAAGCTCAAACTTAAAGTTTAAATCATGACTAAGGAGATGTGTTGGGCTTTACTTAGAATTATCACAGTCCTACAGTTGTGTATCTGTTGCTGTTCATAAAAAGTCACATTGAAAATTCCAAACAGTCCATGATTGATGAAAATTTGAGTTTGGTAGGTAAGTTCCAAACTAGGAAAATTCGAGATACAATCCAACCATTTGTACATTTTGATTGTATTGATGGTAAGTTTCAGCCTTAGTTTCAGCCGAGCTGCCAAAAGCGATTAAAAGCTTTGATTTCACAGAGATCAGATCACTCTTGGCAAACCATAAATATAGTTTTCATAAATATGGTTTTCACCAAAACATGAGTAGATTGAAGTTCTTGCAACGCTCTTTTTATTCAATAATATAATTTGCTTGACCTGCCAATCCTAGAGATTCAATAATTTCCTCCTATCCTCATGGTTAAATCAGTTTGTTGCTCTGACGTGAGCTGCATGATTGCAATTTGTTTTGTATCTCTATCCTCTGCAATATCCGACGGATGCTCCTTTCCTCCATCAACATTCCATGTAGAAAAAGACTTGAAGCAACTATCAGAAATTAGAACCTTGAACTCATTTAATATTGAATGAATTGAACACAAATTACAGGAGAAGAGTATATTCCTTGTCATCTAATCTGATTTTGAATCAGTATTCAAGATATCTACGGAAATTTTGAATAGAACAAGGCAAAAAATATATCAGTAACATAAGCCTTTACACTGACTGAAGAAGTGGGCGGAGATGACAAAATGAAGTAATCACTATCTTTGTACCTTCCCAATTGAATGCAGATAAACCGCAACCGAGACAACGCTGGAAACAAGAAATGAAGCATGGGTCAACCATTGTATCTCTCAAAATGGCCAAAAAGCTATTACCTCTTATCTATGTCTTATGTGGCAAATTGCGAAATTTTGAGATGAAGTGATGTTTTTTAAAATCTGAGTCAAACCACAAACAGCTTCTTATTGTATAACAAATTGTCAGTATCTTTGACAAGTTGATTATGCTACATGACAAAACAGAATGGAGGTCTCTAGGACTCACTCAATTTACCATAATAACATAGAAAGTAGATATTTCATGTGAGCAGAGGAAACTTACGTTGAGCCAAGGAAAAAGGCAAGGGATAGATGAAAGCCAAATAGAAACACAGACACAACTGCTGTAAGAAGCATTGCTACCGATGTAGAATATACCTGCAGGACACAGCTAAATTTAAGATTGGAACTTCCTAAAAGGCCTAGAGATGTTCGAAGTGTGATTCCAACAAACATTATTAATTTTAATAACCAAAATACATATATATGATTAACACTTGGCAAGCCACAAGTAGTCCAACAGAGAATAAAAAGACAAGCATTCCCTGCTACCCCCTCCACTTCTTGCTTAACATGGCCAAAGATATGTATGGAAGTTGCTACAGCCGATCAAGATTTTATCAGAGGAATGAAGAAATTATGAATTCATTCTACCAAAACACCCCAAATATCACATAAGTAAATCAAATTAAAGAAAGAATGTTGTAATAGTATGCCAAGGCGTGATTGTAGAACATTATAGAGATGCATGTAAAAGTACATTAGTGAATGCCTCACCAAAATCAAAGCTGTAATTCCATGTCTTACCTTCACAATATTATCAGCATACTTCATAACCATAGACACAGCAATGCCACTGCAAAGGAAGCCAATGTAAGCAATCAAATAGACCCACAGTAGAAAAATGATAGAGAATACGTGTAACAAGCAAAAAGCTATTGATAAACTGATGAGCCAAAGAGGATACATAATGTACCTGAGTGCATGGTTGAGAATCATTAGAACTGTAATAAATGAGTATCCATGGAAGAATCCCCTGAATATAGAATAATAACTTATAAATATAATTGGAATACAGGGGAACAGTTTTTAGTAGCTAGTAGGCAGAAAACGCATTTTTGGAGGCAGGATCTTCTAACAATAAAGGCAGAAATAATAATAAAGCAATAGACCCAAAAAAAGAAGAAGAAGGAAAAATCAGAAATGGAGAAAAGGGTTTAAATTACTTGTTCATCACTGCATCAAAATCTTGAACCACTATAGCAACAGCATTGAAGGCCATTCCAAAGACGTACAACCAGAAGTTCTGCACATTTATATTCCTTGAAGGGCGCTTTTTGATAATGGCCTGCCAATATCATACAGAAGATTTTAACAAAATTTTTTTTTCCAGAGCAATCAAAGAACCCACAATTTATTGGCGCTGCATATTGTCAACCACAGTGTTCTCAATGCCAATAAAGACTCATCTAAACCCTAAATTTTGATAACAGTAAGTATGATGCGAAAATAAGTTTTGATTCTTAAACATGAAGTGGAGAACAAGCTGTTTACTTAAAGAAATTCACCTCGGTGTATACTCCAGCAAAACCACTTAAAAGTGCCATTACCTGCAAATGACTATCAGTTACACTAACAAACAATGCAAATAAAAGGGGGAAAATAACCAAAGAAAAATTTAGATTAAGAGTCTAAAAAATGTTGAGAACTCACAATGGCCATCACCCAACCTTGTAATGGAGTTTGGAGAACACTATCAGATCTGCCAACAAGAATTCCATTTTAACCAACTTGTTGAACTAACACATGCAGAAATTTATAAAAGCTACCAATTAAAAAGTGGTGAACAATGTTCACTACCCTCTGATTTCCATACATAACTAAGGAATCTGAATATCAACTGATGAGTTTAAGTTTTTAACCTAGAATAATGTACATGATATTAATGAGTTGAGTTCCTCCATTGATTCAATACAGTTAACTCGCTATCATCAACATCTAGTGTCAAGCACTATGGATCAATCATATGCTAGGACTTTTTGAGGTCAGCATAAATTTCATCAGATAATGCAATGGAAAGATATAATACTGATTACACTTACTTTGGGTTCAGTTGTGCGGTAGTGCACCCTGCACATAGTATAATGAAAGCAGCCCATTGAATCTCACTTAACCTGCAAAAGGTAGAGTAGAAACAAAAGTTCATAAGAATAGTTTGCTTTAATCTTCAGCCAACATTATATAGTAGCACACAAATAGGCAGCTTAGCTTAGTCCATATTTACTTACTTTCTCTTTAGTATGATTCTGTATAAAACACCCGTACTGATAATGTTCAGGTTCTTCAGTATTTGATAACCCGGAGCATCCACATATGCGAAGATATAATACTGACACATACAAATGAGCAGTAGATGCAATCACACTTCAAGAAATAAGAAGACCTAACTTACTGATGCAAAAAGAAAACATACTACTGCAACCAACCTGAAGCAGATTCTTGACTAGGTAAAGCAATGCCGGAATGGGGTATACACCAACTTCATCCAGTGTTGTACTCAACCTAATTCATGACAGGATACACGTCACACAAATGACAAAAATAAAGAGCTAATACAATTATGTAATTCCGGGTTTCAATCTCTCTCAGTCGCCTATTATCCAGTCATTCCTCAATAACCAATACATTATACAACGAATAGAATTGAGTTCTCCCATAAGATCACTGTAAGACCTGTTATCCTCAGTAACACCTTCATTGCTCCAGATTCGTGCCAAAGCAGCTAGTGACAAGGCACACTTCAAAGCCTCCACCTAATTCCCAAAACACAACCCATTTCAAGTCACAGAAAAAATCATAAAAACTTTGAAGTGTAATTAGAAATCTAACTTCCTCTGCCTCTCTTACCGAGAAATTTGCAGTGGTAACACTATACTCATATTTCCCAGCCCTCTTCGACCACACAATCAATATAGCTTGTGAACTCGTAAGGAAAGTCAAAGCCAGAGTAACAATTGACCTATTCGAACCAACCCAATACACACAAATCAAACAAAAGAAAATAAAAATAACAAATTTGTCTAACTTGGAGCAAATAACAAGATAGGCCATACTTGCGCTTCCACTTGGTCCGCTCAACTGGACCCACAGCAGAAATAGGCTTTCCCCTTAAACTCTCGACGTCTTCAGGAGCTGAAGCTCCATCTTGATCCTGCAATTAGATCAAATGGGGATGAAAAAGGTCGAAAATTTGAGGGCTTATTGAAGAAATCCGATAATGTTATGTGGAAAATACCTGATCTTTGAGCTTCCTGTACTCCATTTTCACACTGGGTTTGCTTTTATTTGTATAAATTTTGGTCCTTTCAGATCTCTAAGCCACAGAGGAAGACCCGCCACTGCCACAGCCACTGGACTGTATAATGAACTGCACACATGCATAGCTCGCTTCACCTCAAGCAAGAAGAAAACCATCAAAACGACATCGTTTTCTGGTAACCGGTTCTTTCTCTTTTGGTCTGAACCCGACGGGTCGTCACGATGGCCTCTTCTGCGTCATGGTTTCCTTCTGGCCTGTTATTAACAGGCTGTGGTAAGATCCAAAATCCGAAAGCAGAAATAGAATGACCCAAGCCCAATGAGAAACCGAAATGGGTTATTAAGGAGGCCTCTAAATGCACTCATGGATTTGATCAATACACCCAACACCAACATATTCCGAAAGTCTCCATTTTATACCCTTGGGTGTGTAGATCAAACTGTATATAAAATTAAAAACCTAGCCAAGGATGGCTCTCGATATCAGAGATCGGAGCGATACCAATATCTGAAATGGAGGTGATGGCTAGTCCTGTTCAACATACCATCTATGAGATCAGAGCGATACCGACATTTGAGATGGAAGTGATGTTGGTCATGAGTGTATTGAGTAATTTTTGGGGTTTATTTAGACACGTCAATTGCATTTCATTTTCTTGAATTTGTGATCACATAACAAAATCAATAATGTTACATCTTTATAACTTATTCATTCTCATCTCATATGAAAAATAAAGATACAAAATCTCCCATTCCCATCCTTCCACAAAAACTTATACTACCGACTTATTCACCAAATAGAAAATCTTGAAGCAAATTTTGAATACATACAATTATTCATAAATCACAATATAAACAAGTATTGTGTTTTTATACGAATATGATATTAGCGTAATGTGGGTTATTACTTATTCATTAAGCAATGTATTAGGGAAGGAGAGAGGGAACTAATGGGAATGAATATAATTTTGTAAGCGGGTTAATCGTTTTATTAGTCCTTGAACTTACACCCGATTTGCATTTGAGTCCTTTAATTTTCAAAATCGTTCCCGTGGTCTTTTAACTTCAATTTCGTTAGGACAAATGGTCCTACCTCTCTTTTATCTAGGAAGCATAGGAGATCCAACATTTCATGAGGACCCCCGTTTGATAAAGAAGCAAGCTGCATCCAAACATACATTAATATTGGCAATCACATCCCACAATATACTCAATTTTAATAAAGAGAAATATAAAGTTACCCATAAGCTGAAGGTTTGAGTCCTGCTGAAATGGCCCTATATTTTTTAGGTTAATGTACTGTGAAAAGGAAAAACACAAAAGAAAAGCTTCTCTAGGAGGACAAAGGAAAAAAAAGAAAAAGAAAATATACAGGAAAGAGGACTAGCACTAGCTGTAGAATGTAATAATATAAACAAGGCAGAATGCCCAATTCGCACTCGCACTCGTCTTTTATTCTAGGCAAGCACCTGCACGACCATTTGCAGAAGATTCATGCTAGTAATTGAGCTTGAAATCCACCCACTATTAGCACATGTATATCTGTCATGGCCCGGATGATTCGCATACTTTGATCCAATACTAACTTCAAGTCTGTGACTTAATCACTGATTGGTAATTCTAAGTGCGAGAAATGTGCCTGAATGCAGAATTCATGCATGGTAAGAGAATAAAACGATGAGAAAACTAAAAAGGATGAGGACATGAAGTTTTTGTTTGAAAAACATATAGTTGAAGACAACTCTGACCTGAAATAGCAGATTGTCTTTGACATGTGGATCATCTAAGCAGTCCTTATCCACTTTATATCAAACTCAGGTTCAGTATTGTCCAAGCCATAGTAAGCTGGATTAAACATCTGTAGAAGACTATGCTCACATCATTGTCATAGCAGCATCTGTAAATCAAATACTAAGGACACAAAATAATAAAAACCAAAGGCTTTTAACATGTGTCTTCACCACATTTAAATACAAGAGGATCATTGTCACAGCAGCAATGCAAATGATAGGCGTTCTGAAATTTAACAGCAAAAAAAAGATAGGTGTAGAGTATTGAGAAAATAAAAAGGAAAATGGTTTATTGATTAGATATAGGACTGCAAGACTTCATCCATTGACTTTATTAGATTTTCTGATATTCAAAACCCCAAACAACCTGATTCCTAGTATTTGAGGCACATATTCAGAAAGTAACATGATTTGTTAGGCGCGGGCGGATTGTGATGGACATCTACTCCCATCTTTCTTGTAGAATCTAAGCAACTGTTGATTATAAAGGGAGAAAAGCATGTAATCTGATTCACATATTTCTTTCTTTCCATTTTCTTTTCTATATAGTCATGTGTGACCAAAACCATCATTTGCAATATATATGCGATTCATATTGGAAAATCAACATATCTCTTTGTTTTCCCATCATAATATTCTGTTCCCTACAAGAGAATCAACACTTACGTAAATTTTTTCTGAAGAACAGCTGCTGCAATATACTCCTACTAGAAACCTTTGTAAATATAGGAACCAAATGAAAAAGATACAGCACAAATTTTGCCTTACCTTAATAATGACCAGATGATGACCTGGAAGGTTTACAACCCATGCCAATGTGCTGGTACAAACCAATACCTATAATTTAATAGGTATGCCTAATCAGTATATAGAGTAAGAACATGATATTTTTATATTCTCTTTTCCTAATGTGTTTTTCAGGAAAGACTCATGCTTACTGAGGTAAGACAGAAATGCCTGAATCTTGTTGTTTGCAAAAAGCTCCTCAACCAGAGATCCATCTTTGTAATCCAATGCCAAATTGCAATGTGTGCCTCAGGTTAAAGAACCATCTGCTGGGCTTCTTCTGGCATACTAAGAAACTGTCTTGGATGTTCATCTGACGTTGCCAACTTTAATAACAGAAAAGCACCCAAAAAAATTGAATCAACACCGCAGCCGAAACCGAAGAAAAAAAATCCAAGCTTGAGTTGAGAGAGAGGCTCAAGACCGAGTATTTGAATTTTGAAGATTGGACTGCGAGTGCAAGCTTCGTGTTCGTTTCTCTGTCTCTTCATTTCACTCGTGCACCACATTCCTCTGCGAGTGCAAGTTTCGTCTGTCTTCATATGGAAAAAAAAGGACGCCCAGACCCGCCCAGGCCGCCTAGAACCTCCCAAGCCGCCTAGGTGCCGCCTAGAACCGCCCAGGCCGCCTAGGTGCCGCCTAGAAACTCCCAGGCCGCCTAGATCCGCCTAGGCCGCCGAGGCGCCGCCTAGATCCGCCCAGGCAGCCAAGGCGCCGCCAAACTCCCTTACAGCCTCAGAGTTGTTATCTTAGTGGAGATTTCAATAGCTGAATGACATTTGCTGGTTTTCATAGAGAGAGTCCAATCCAATCCAATCAACGCAGCAGCCGAAACGAAAGCAAAAAAGAAATTGAAGCCTGAGTTCAGAGAGAGAGAGAGAGAGAGAGTCTTTGAAGCTTGGAAGCGCTAAGCGAAATGGCTGAGTCGCGAGTGCAAGATTCGTGTTTGTTTTGTGTCTATTTAAACCGTATAGCCGCACGGCTATACCTTTAAGATAAAATACTATATTTAAATAGTACAGCCGTCCGGCTATACTCTTTAAATATATAATTTTGTCATGATATTTTAGGGTCTAGAGCTAAAATACCACTTAGCTAATTAGGATAGAGTTATTTCTTCAATTATTTTATTTATACTAGTGATATTGTGGAATGAGAATTTAAGTTCTTTCTGATACCTCTTATTCTAATGATTTCCAGCTATTAGCCCATTAGGCAAGAATAAAAAATGAATTTTATTTATAAGAAATAATACGGGTTAAACCCATAAATGCCACAACAAAAAATAGGAATCCAATCCAAAGGTTTTGGACATTTCTACACATTACTAGTTACAGGATATTTATTTGTGGCAGCTCTTCTTGCCAATTAATTTTACGATTTTTAGCACCTTTCTACACATTACCTGTTACAAGATTTTTAGCGACCTTGTAAAATTCAAAGATGCAACTTCATAACATCCTCAATTTTGCCATTACCATACAAAGGTTTTGGACATTGAGTAGACCACGTAGCGGTGGCTAGAGCATTTTATCAAATAGTTTTGCGATGAACTAGAAGTGTTTGAATAGCTACCATGTTCTAACTCCTGTCCTCTTCAGAAAAAGAAAAGAAAAACATTCTGGGGATAATCTAACTAAAAAACGCACTGGCTGCAAAATTTAAATAATAACTATTTTATTGTCATCTTGTAAGTTTCATCTCTGACAGTTGAAATCTTGCCAACCACGTTTTTCCATTTTCGAATTACCTCAAGATGAATTTCCTTTGTTTTATTTTTTATTTTGACATTTGGCTGTAGAACTTTTTAACAATCATTACTTTTGAATTTACATGTACAGATTCAAGCCTTCAAAGTGAGGGCCTTGAGAAGGAGTCCATTTTCAGTGATTTTGTCTCCCAAGTGTTCTCTCTCAAAATCTTCATCTCTAATCCTAGACATTTTGCCATTCTACATATCTCCCCAGACTGTGTGGGTGGGATGTATCTGAAAGACTTAGAAAATGGGAGAAAAGGCCACACCAGTAACTCTGGTGTAAGCACGTATTTATATTACTATATTGATAACTTACAATTCAAAATACAAGAGATGTTCCAAAAACAAGGGATCAGCTCAATTACAAAATAGCATTATCAGCATATCAACTATTCAAATTCAAATCCACAACTGACTTATCAGTAACAATCTGCTCGTGACTTGGACTTGGTCTAACATCCCCCCCCAAGCTGAGTGAACGTTGAAGAAGAGGCAGCTTGAGAACCAGTGTACGAAAACGAGACGAAATGAGACATTTGGTGAATAAATATGCAGTTTGGTCTTGAGAACAAATATAGTTTACAACCAGGTCGCCCCTCACTACTTTTTCCCTAACATAATGATAATCAACCTCCAAATGTTTCGTGCGTGAATGAAAAACTGGATTGGATGCCAATGAGATAGAAGAAACATTGTCACACCAGATAATTGGTGGTGGCAACGAAAGAGACAAATCACGAAACAAGGAACGCAACCATGATAATTCTGCGGCTGTATATGCAAGCTGATGATATTCGGCTTCCGAACTTGATCTCGAAACAGTCTTCTGTTTCTTTGAGCTCCATGAAATAAGATTGGAGCCTAAGAAAATGCAATAGCCACCAGTAGAATGTCGTGAATCAGGATCTTCGGCGTAATCAGCATCGGAATAAGCACTCAATTGCAGCGAACTTGGTTTATACCGTAAACCATGATCAAATGTGAATTTCAGATATCGGAGAATGCGTTTTACCGCTTGCCAGTGAGTTGTGGTTGGGGAATGCATAAATTGGCATACTTGATTTACAGAGTAGGAAAGATCAGGCCGGGTAATCGTTAAATACTACAAAGCACCAACAACTTGCCTGTACTCAGTAGGATCACAAAGAGGTTCACCAGAATACATACTCAAATTTTGACCCGAAGCACATGGAGTGGACAAAGGCTTACAATCTGTAAATCCAGTGCATACCAATGGATCAGTTGCATACTTAGCTTGCGTCAGGTGAACACAATCACCCTTATAAGTGACTTCAATCCCCAAAAAGTAATTGAGGGGCCCAAGGTCCTTCATGGAGAATAGCTTACCCAAAGTCTGAATTAGGTTCATAATCTGAGGTAAACTATTTCCAGTTAACAAAATATCGTCAACGTAGATTAGCAACACCAAATAAACACCATCATGATTATATATGAATAGAGAATAATCACATTTAGACTCTTGAAAGCCAAGAACAAGCAAGTAGTCACTAAACCTCTGAAATGGAGCTTGTTTAAGTCTGTACAGAGACCTCTGCAATCTGCAAACATGATTCGGATATTGAGGATCAACAAATCCCTGCGGCTGTCGCATGAAAACATCTTCATTTAAAAAACATGAAGAAAAGCATTTTGTACATCTAATTGTCGTACCGACCATTTATTTGAAATTGCCAGGCTCAGAACCATCCGAATGGTTGTATGCTTTACCACAGGATTGAAAGTCTCTGTATAATCGAGACCCTCTTGCTGATGGAACCCATTAGCGACCAAACGAGCTTTAAACCTCACAATCGAACCATCAGATTTCATGAAAGACTTAGAAAATGGGAGAAAAGGCCACACCAGTAACTCTGGTGTACGCACGTATTTATATTATTGTATTGATAACTTACAATTCAAAATACAAGAGCTGTTCCAATAAACAAGGGATCAGCTCAATTACAAAATAGTATTATCAGCATATCAACTATTCAAATGGGAATCCAGAACTGACTTATCAATAACAATCTTCTCGTGACTTGGACTTGGTCTAACAGTATCACCTGATGAAAACCCATGAAGATACAGGGAACCATCAGCATCACCAGTATCCACCCAACTATATCCCACTTCCTTTCTCACTCCTTTATCTCTCATCCATTTCCCAGTCCCCTTTCTCAGCATACAAGTTGAACATCAACAAAAAAGAACCAGTTTCCATTGGTTCCAATCTCATCAATGTATCGGCCACTCTCTCCGCCATCTCCACATTCCCAAGGATCCTGCAAGCCCCAAGCTGGCTTTGCAACCACAAAATCCCTGGCTGTCCCGGGATCTAACTCATCAATTCCTCTGCTTCCTCCAATTTCCCTGCATGTCCCAACATGTCCACCATACTTGAACAATGTTGAGGAGATGGTTCAATACGATAGTCTTTCACCATTGAATGAAAGAGGTGACGGCCCAACATATGCAGATATTATTGCAGTCCAAGCAAACTGACTTTTATGAGGCGTCTCACTGAAAACTCTTTTGGACTCACAAATGCTTCCCCGCTTTGCATACATATCAAGAAGAGCACCTGCGATAATTGGGCCAGTCACTAATCTATGAATATTCAACGAAAACAACAAAACACATGGATCACATGGACTGCAGAAAAGTACCAAGTGGGCATACAAAACTTGCCAGATAACATTTTCAACATAGTTATTTTGCAGCAAATGCACCTCTACGTTTAAATATTTTATGAATGTCATATGTGGAAAATACAAACTGCTAACCAACTTACCATAAGTCTATACCGAGGTTCAAAAATGGGTAGCGGAAACTTCTGAAATGGGAGGACACCATCCATTACAAAGAGTGGCATCAAATCAACACCAAAGTTTGTCATTGCATCATTCTCCAACTTCCTTTCGGCAAATTCCTCTGGGAATTTCTTTTGTATAATGTCATTAAGTGTCACAATGGGAAAAACAAAAAGAAGATATTGAAGGTGTCAGAACGGAAGCAAACAATCTTGATAAAGAAGCACGGTGCATCCAAACATACATTAATACTGGCAATCACATCCCACAATATACTCAATTTTTAATAAAGAGAAATATAAAGTTACCCTAAAGTTGAAGGTTTGAGTCCTGCTGAAATGGCCCTATATTTTTTTTAGGGTAATGTACTGTGAAAAGGAAAAACACAAAAGAAGAGCTTCTCTAGGAGGACAAAGGAAAAAAACAAAACAAAACAAAACAAGATAAACAACACAGGAAAGAGGACTAGCTAGCTGTAGAATGCAATGATATAAACAAGGCCGAATGCCCAATTCGCAGTAGCACTCGTCTTTTATTCTAGGCAAGTACTACTACTAAGAAGTCTGAAATACCTGCACAACCATTTGCAGAAGATTCATGCTAGTAATTGAGCTTGAAAAAATAAAAAGGAAAATGGTTTATTGATTAGATATAGGACTGCAAGACTTCATCCATTGACTTTATTATATTTTATGATATTCAAAACCCCAAACAACCTGATTCCTAGTATTTGAGGCACATATTCAGAAAGTAACATGATTTGTTAGGCACGGGCGGATTGTGATGGACATCTACTCCCATCTTTCTTGTAGAATCTAATTCACATATTTCTTTCTTTCCATTTTCTTTTCTATATAGTCATGTGTGACCAAAACCATCATTTGCAATATATATGCGATTCATATTGGAAAATCAACATATCTCTTTGTTTTCCCATCATAATATTCTGTTCCCTACAAGAGAATCAACACTTACGTAAATTTGTCCTGAAGAACAGCTGCTGCAATATACTCCTACTAGAAGCCTTTGTAAATATAGGAACCAAATGAAAAAGATACAGCACAAATTTTGCCTTACCTTAATAATGACCAGATGATGACCTGGGAGGTTTACAACATGATCTTTTTATATTCTCTTTTCCTAATGTGTTTCTTAGGAAAGACTCATGCTTACTGAGGTAAGACAGAAATGCCTGAATCTTGTTGTCTGCAAAAAGCTCCTCAACCAGAGATCCATCTTTGTCATTCAGACCGGCATGGTGTAATCCAATGCCAAACTGCAATGTGCGCCTCAGGTTAAAGAACCATCTGCTGGGCTTCTTCTGGCATACTAAGAAACTGCCTTGGATGTTCATCTGACGTTGCCAACTTCAATAACAGAAAAGCACCCCAAAAAATTGAATCAACACCGCAGCCGAAACCGAAGAAAAAAAATCCAAGCTTGAGTTGAGAGAGAGGCTCAAGACCGAGTATTTGAATTTTGAAGATTGGACTGCGAGTGCAAGCTTCGTGTTCGTTTCTCTGTCTCTTCATTTCACTCGTGCACCACATTCCTCTGCTAGTGCAAGCTTCGTCTGTCTTCATATGGAAAAAAAAAGACGCCCAGACCCGCCCAAGCCGCCTAGAACCTCCCAAGCCGCCTAGGTGCCGCCTAGAACCGCCCAGGCCGCCTAGGTGCCGCCTAGAAACTCCCAGGCCGCCGAGGCGCCGCCTAGATCGGCCCAGGCCACCGAGGTGCCACCTAGATCGGCCCAGGCCACCTAACTCCCTTATAGCTTCAGAGTTGTTATCTTAGTGGATATTTCAATAGCTGAATGACATTTGCTGGTTTTCATAGAGAGAGTCCAATCCAATCCAATCAACGCAGCAGCCGAAAAGAAAGCAAAAAAGAAATTGAAGCTTGAGTTGAGAGAGAGAGAGAGTCTTTGAAGCTTGGAAGCGCTAAGCGAAATGGCTGAGTCGCGAGTGCAAGCTTCGTGTTTGTTTTGACTATATTTAAAGAGTTTAGCCGCACGGCTATACCGTTAACATATTTGAATATATTCTGCGAATATAGCCGTACGGCTATACTCTTTAAATATACAATTTCATCATGATATTTTAGGGTTTAGGACCGCTTTAGCTAATTAGGATACAGTTATTTCTTCAATTATTTTATTTATACTAATGATATTGGGGAATGAGAATTTAAGTTCTTTCTAATACCTCTCATTCTAATGATTTCCAGCTATTAGCCCATTATCCCATTACTAGTTACAAGATTTTTATTTGTGCCTCTTCTTGCCAATTAATTTTACGATTTTTAGCACTTTTCTACACATTACCTGTTACAAGATTTTTAGCAAGCTTGTAAAATTCAAAGTTGCAACTTCATAACATCCTCAATTTTGGCATTACTATACAAAGGTTTTGGACATTGAGTAGACCACGTAGCAGTGGCTAGAGCATTTTATCAAATAGTTTTGCGATGAACTAGAAGTGTTTGAACAGCTACCATGTTCTAACTCCTGTCCTCTTCAGAAAAACAAAAGAAAAACATTATGGGGATAATCTAACTAAAAAACGCACTGGCTGCAAAATTTAAATAGTAACTATTTTATTGTTGTCCTCTGTTTGCAATCACTGCCTACAATATACTCAATTTTAATAAAGAGAAATATAAAGTTACCTAGAAGCTGAAACGCTCAGGATCTTGTTGTGAAGGCATCCGCGCTTCCACCCCCGAGAAGTCTCTCAAGTCGTCTTTGATCTATAAAGAGATACTATCATACATCAAAAGGGCACATAGGTATACTGAACACAAGAATAGGGAAGAAACCATTCTTATGTACAATGGCATTACAATAAATAAGATATGTTGATCTAGAGATAAAGATCCTCCCCAAATGTTCCAAGCAGAAGCTTCCTAAAGATGAAATCTGAATATGATAGACATTTCAGTGGAACGAAAGATTTAACCTAATAAAACTAATCTTTCATCCAACCATTACAACTGACCACCAAATTGAAACATGCAACTTTATTCTGGCAGTAATATTCACCCAAAATAATGGAAATCTGATTCAGGATATTCTTAAAAGGTCATCCATATACCTATTATAGAGGACAACAAAATTTAAAACAAAAACAAAATAAAAAGAAACTCAAAAGCATTGTTAAGCACCAGATCAAGTTTAACTCAAGCTTCTTACTATTCTCTACAACAAAAAATTTAAAAATAAAATATAACTGAAAAGAGCACACTCCAATAGAGAGATTACAGCAAACCAAATTGTCATGAACTTACGTTTGCTCTCTCTCTAGACCCTTCTGGTGGATATATATATGTCATGTACCCTACCGTACCTGAAGAGCACATCAAAAGACAAAAATATTGTACAAGAGCAGTAACTAAAGATCAAATGAATGGCTAGACATCTCATAAGACAACTCACCCATCTTGGTCCCAAGATCGAAATTATACGAAACCGTCGGCGACTTTCTATCTGCATGAAATAGTATTATTATAAGTGTGTGATTGGATCATTAAAAAAAACATCATAATTCAAACAAAATACGTTCTGATATGGAAATATTTATCATAGATAAGCCTAATAGTTAATTTGCAACCGCGGGTGTATAAATAAGGCAAAAAATAAAGGATAATTGTTCATTAAATGAAAAGTAGATCGGTTTTAGAATTCATAATGCATTAAAACAATGTAAACAGAGCGCAAAAGTACAGATTGAAGCAAAAGTACACATTCATAATGCATTCATAATGTATCTAACCTCTAAATAGAAACGACCATCTGGAAGTGTTTCACACCTACATAAAAAATAATTTTTTCTTTAAAAGGAGGAAGCATGGTAGTGGAGTTTACAAATGACATTCTGCAAACTAGAAAATTAAGAAGGAAAGGAGGAGGATGAAAGACCTACTTGGTAATTTCCACTTCACAAGCAAAATCAGCTATTGAACCTGTTGAAGAATCAATATTGAAGGTGTCAGAACTGAAGCAAACAATCTTGATAAAGAAGCATGGTGCATCCAAACATACATTAATACTGGCAATCACGTCCCACAATATACTCAATTTTTAATAAAGATAAATATAAAGTTACCCAAAAGCTGAAGGTTTGAGTCCTGCTGAAATGGCCCTATATTTTTTAGGGTAATGTACTGTGAAAAGGAAAAACACAAAAGAAGAGCTTCTCTAGGAGGACAAAGGAAAAAAAAATAAACAAAACAAAACAGATAAACAATACAGGAAAGAGGACTAGCACTAGCTGTAGAATGTAATGATATAAACAAGGCCGAATGCCCAATTCGCACTAGCACTCGACTTTTATTCTAGGCAAGTACTACTACTAAGAAGTCTGAAATACCTGCACAACCATTTGCAGAAGATTCATGCTAGTAATTGAGCTTGAAAAAATAAAAAGGAAAATGGTTTATTGATTAGATATAGGACTGCAAGACTTCATCCATTGACTTTATTAGATTTTATGATATTCAAAACCCCAAACAACCTGATTCCTAGTATTTGAGGCACATATTCAGAAAGTAACATGATTTGTTAGGCACGGGCGGATTGTGATGGACATCTACTCCCATCTTTCTTGTATAATCTAAGCAACTGTTAATTATAAGGGAGAAAAGCATGTAAATCTGATTCACATATTTCTTTCTTTCCTTTTTTATTCTATAAGTCAAGTGTGACCAAAACCATCATTTGGAAAATCAACATATCCCTTTGTTTTCCCATCATAATATTCTGTAACCTACAAGAGAATCAACACTTACGTAAATTTATCCTGAAGAACAGCTGCTGCAATATACTCATACCAGAAACCTTTGTAAATATAGGAACCAAATGAAAAAGATACTGCACAAATTTTGCCTTACCTTATAATGACCAGATGATGACCTGGAAGGTTTACACCCATGCCAATGTGCTGGTACAAACCAATACCTATAATTTAATAGGTATGCCTAATCAGTATATAGAGTAAGAACATGATATTTTTATATTCTCTTTTCCTAATGTGTTTTTCAGGAAAGACTCATGCTTACTGAGGTAAGACAGAAATGCCTGAATCTTGTTGTTTCCTCAACCAGAGATCCCTCTTTGTCATTCAGACCGGCATGGTGTAATCCAATGCCAAACTGCAATGTGTGCCTCAGGTTAAAGAACCATCTGCTGGGCTTCTTCTGGCATACTAAGAAACTGCCTTGGATGTTTATCTGACGTTGCCAACTTCAATAACAGAAAAGCACCCAAAAAAATTGAATCAACACCGCAGCCGAAACCGAAGAAAAAAATCCAAGCTTGAGTTGAGAGAGAGGCTCAAGACCGAGTATTTGAATTTTGAAGATTGGACTGCGAGTGCAAGCTTCGTGTTCGTTTCTCTGTCTCTTCATTTCACTCGTGCACCACATTCCTCTGCGAGTGCAAGCTTCGTCTGTCTTCATATGGAAAAAAAAGGAAGCCCAGACCCGCCCAGGCCGCCTATAACCTCCCAAGCCGCCTAGGTGCCGCCTAGAACCTCCCAGGCCGCCTAGAAACTCCCAGGCCGCCTAGGCGCCGCCTAGATCAGCCTAGGTCGCCGAGGCGCCGCCTAGATCCGCCCAGGCCGCCTAACTCCCTTGTAGCCTCAAAGTTGTTATCTTAGTGGAGATTTCAATAGCTGAATGACATTTGCTGGTTTTCATAGAGAGAGTCCAATCCAATCCCATCAACGCAGCAGCCGAAACGAAAGCAAAAAAGAAATTGAAGCTTGAGTTGAGAGAGCGAGAGAGTCTTTGAAGCTTGGAAGCGCTAAGCGAAATGGCTGAGTCGCGAGTTCAAGCTTCGTGTTTGTTTTGACCCTATTTAAAGCGTATAGCCGAACGGGTAATACCTTTAAGATATTTGAATATATTCAAATCTTATAGCCGTTCGGCTATACCTTTAAAATACTATATTTAAATAGTACAGCCGTCCGGCTATACTCTTTAAATATACAATTTTGTCATGATATTTTAGGGTTTAGGGCTAAAATACCACTTTAGCTAATTAGGATAGAGTTATTTCTTCAATTATTTTATTTATACTAGTGATATTGTGGACTGAGAATTTAAGTTCTTTCCGATACCTCTCATTCTAATGATTTCTAACTATTAGCCCATTAGGCAAGAATAAAAATGAATTTTATTTATAAGAAATAATACAGGTTAAACCCATAAATGCCACAACAAAAAAAGAATCCAAAGGTTTTGGACCTTTCTACACATTACCTGTTACAAGATATTTATTTGTGGCAGCCCTTCTTGCCAATTAATTTTACGATTTTTAGCACCTTTCTACACATTACCTGTTACAAGATTTTAGCACACCTTCTCCCACCATCTCAATAAAAGCAAAAATCGCCTCAAGCCCATGATTTCCTTCTTGAGAGTAACCGATAGTATTGCATTCCATGAAACCAGATCCTCATTCGCCATTTCATCAATACACATTCCTAGCTTCTATTAACCGCCTCTACCTCAATACGTACGTATAAGTGCATTTCCAACAAAACTTCACCATCTAACCAGACTTAGATATAAGAGATGCAGTTGTAATCCAAATAGAAAATCTTCATGATCCGCACAAAAAGCAAGAATTGTAGTATAAGTCACTGGATCAAAAACAACTCCATTAAAATTCATCCTAAGAGCAAAATTCAGTGCACCCTCACTTGTTCGAAACCCCTAAAGAATAGTATTCCAAGAAACTATGAGTATAGCACATATATAGTCTAAAAGATAAGCCAGGGACCATCAAACTGTCCAGCTTTGGTGTACATATATACTCATCAAAGAATTTGAAACCGTAGTATATGAAGGAAGCCCAGAAGAAACTGCAAATTCGTGAATTTGGCATCCGGTTTTGGGGTCCCCTTGACGGGCCTTGATAGCTAGGGTAACGGTATTTTCATCGATGTTATGAGACAAATGTAGTTGAAGTTGCACTCGCAGTCACAACCATTTTGCTTCTCTATAGGTGCTTCCAAGCTACAAAGACTCGGTCTTGAGCCTCTCTCTCTCTCAACTCAAGCTTCGATTTTTTTTTTTTTTTTGTTTTGGCTGCTGCGTTGATTGGATTGGATTGGACTCTCTCTACGAAAACCATCAAATGTCATTCAGCTATTGAAATCTCCACTAAGATAACAACTCTGATGCTATAAGGGAGTTAGGCGGCCTGGGCGGATCTAGGCGGTGCTGGTGGGTCTAGCAGGAGCTGAGGCGGTCTGGCCGCCTCCTTTTTGTTCCAAATGAAGATAGACGAAGCTTGCACTCGCAGATTGAATATATTAACAAGTACAGCCGTTCGGCTATATCATTAAAATATTCGAATATATTCCGAAGTATAGCCAACACGGCCATACCTTGAATATAATAGCAAATCGTATAGCCTGCGGCTATACTATTTAAATATACAATTTTGTCATGTTATTTTAAAATACCACTTTAGCTAATTAGGATAGGGTTATTTCTTCCATTATTTTTTTTATACTTGTGATATTGGGGAATGATAATTTAAATTCTTTCTGGTACCTCATATTCTAATGATTTCCAGCTATTAGTCCATTAGGCAAGAATAAAAAATGGATTTTATTTATAAGAAATAATGTGGGTTAAGCCCATACATACAACAAGAAATAGGCATTCACCAACATTTTGGGGATAAAAGAATCCTGAATTTCATAGTGTAAAATTGCTTGTGTATTTACTTTCTAAAATGTATCCATCGTAATTATAAACTAAACCCCACTTGACAACATTTTTCTCATTGCACTTGACAACCTTGCTCTTTTACTATGAGATATATCAGTTCGCGCAATATTCTCTGTAGATAAAAATTGGATACAAAACGGTCTAATGAGACAATGAAGAGAAGAGTTTTGAAGTAAATTGAAGGTATCCGAGGTCATATGGCATTGATATATATATATATATATATAACTATTCTAAATGAGATTTCAAACAATGTGTTAGATGAGAAGTAGCATCTAATTCTTACATATACCATACCCACGTGCACCTGAAATAGCTATGTTAAGAGGGGAGAAAAGTTCAATACCTCTCTTGTATCTCGCAAGCGTAGGAGATCCAACCTTTCATGAGGATGCCGGTTTAATAAAGAAGCAAGCTGCATCCAATCATACATTAATATTGGAAATCACGTCCCATAATATACTCAATTTTAATAAAGAGAAATATAAAGTTACCCAGAAGCTAAAACACTCAGGATCTTGTAGTGAAGGCATCACCGCTTCCACGCCGAGAAGTCTCTCAAGTCGTCTTCGATATGTAAAGAGATAATATCATACATCAAAAGGGCACATAGGTATACTGAACACAAGAATAGGGGAAGAAACCATTCTTATGTACACTGGCATTACATATAAATAAGATATGTTGGTCTAGAGATAAAGATCCTCCCAAAATGTTCCAAGCAGAAGTTTCCTAATGATGAAATCTGAATATGACAGACATTTCAGTGGACAAAAGGTTTAACCTAATAAAACTAATCTTTCATTTCCAACCATTACAACTGACCACCAAATTGAACTGCAATCTCAGTCAGCAGCATATCACCAAAATAATGGAAAATCTGATTCAGGATATTCTTAAAGGTCCATCCATATACCTATTATAGAGGACTAAGAGATTTAACATTTTGGAGATAACCCAAAAATACAAAAAAAAGGTAAATTCCGAGTTCATTCAATTGATGTCATTCCTGAGCATTTTACCCTTGCGTGCTGCTCTCTTTACACCCCGCCCTATCCATAACCGAGCATACTCTGCTGCATTATTTGTCAATTCCTGCAACTGGACAGGTATTGAAGTTAAACGTATAGGCCACAACCAATATGAGGGGGGAAAAACATGGAAGAACTTTGTCCTACATCTTCCTACAGTGATGCATGTTACCTTCATGCTATTAATACATTCCAAGCTTCGTTTTTTTTTTTTCTTTTCTTTTCTTCTTTTCAGCTGCTGTGTTGCATTGGATTGATTGGACTCTCTCTACAAAACCATCGAATGGTCATTCAGGCGTTTGAAATCTCTATTAGATAACAACTCTGATGCTATAAAGGAGTCGGCTCCCTGGTCGGGCCTATGCGGCCTGGGATGTCTAGCGCACCTAGATTCCTGGCCCAATCTACGCACCGCCTCAAGCTGCCTGGGCTGTTTCTAGGAGTCTGTGGTCTAGAGCCGGCGCTCTAGGCGGCCTGGGTTGATCGGCAGCCTCTTTTTGTTCCAAATCAAGACAGAAGCTTGCACTCGCAGATCTAATGTATTTGGCGCGGCCGCCGGGCGCTATACCGTAAAAATATTCGAATATATTCCCAGGAATATAGCTGCAACCCACTGACCGTTAAAACAATATATGTTAAATAATATCACCAGTCGTACGCGGATGCCTACCTTTTTTGAAACATTTCCGGTTTTTTGGTAGACACTAGACGGAATTGTTAGAGCCGATGTTCCTTTTAGAAGGGCAATCAAATATAGTGTCCGAACAAGTAGGTGTAACTGTCGAGTTTTCTATGGCGGCGAACTCAAACGAGTAGTTATAGTGAGCCCGCTAAAAAAACAGAAAAAATATCTACCGCGCTCAATTGGGTGAAATTTTGGAATTAGATCTGTGCTACTTTGAAATCCGATCATATTCTAATCGTATAGCAGCACCGCATACCGGTAAAATAAAATAGTTAAGTTGTAAGCGGCCGCACGCATACATTTGTCTTGTATTTGAAAATACCCTTTAGCTAATTAGGGATAGAGGTAATTTCTTCAATTTTTATTTTATTTTTTAGTTTATATATTGATATTGGGGAATGTAATGTAAATTCTTTTCTCATTACCTCACATTCGAAGAATTCCATTCCACTATTAGTCCAATCGGCCAGCTAAAAAATGGGATTTTATTTATAAGAAATAATACGGGTTAAACCCACAAAACAACAACAAAAAATAAGAAACCAATTCAAAAAGGTTTTGGACCTTTCTACACATTACCAGTTACAAGATTTTTATTTGTGCAGCTCTTCTTGCCAATTAAATTTGCAATTTTAGCACCATTCACATTAACTTTTACAAGACCTACTTGCCAAAATAATTATTGAATCTGTTGAAGAATCAATGAACCTACGTAAAAATTAAAAAAAAAAAAGCCACAATCAATGAAACTTAACTTGGGTCAACTTTATACACCTTAAGAAAGTTAAAAGGGAAAGAAAGGACCCCAGTGACACTAATCTACCATTCTCATGACAGGTGCCTTCCATTATACCGCTTACTCGTTGTTTAAGTGACAAAAGTAAAGCCAAAAATCAGGCTTATTATCACAAAATGTCTAAGGTTTATGAAACTATCAGATTGATCCTTAATGTTTTTTTGGTCACTTATGGTATTTAAGATTAGTATGTGCAAATCACAAATGGTCCAGCCGTAGGTTTTGTCAAAAACTCTGTAGTGTGCTGACGTGGCATACAGTATATCACAAAACATCCCTGAGGTTTACACTACTTATCACAAATGGTCATACAAAATTTTTTATTTTAAATTTAAAATTCATAAAATTTTGGTTTTCTTTTTAAAATTAGTTATAAATGAAAAAACCATTTATAAAGGATTTTAATCTTGAGGACCTTTACCTAAACCCTTAGTTTTTTCATATTTAAATTTTATGATTTTAAATTATTTTTTAAAACTTCATTAATTTGTTGATGTGGCATATATATGGAGCCCACTCTACAATAATATAGTGTCACATGTATTTAAAATTGATATATATTTTAAAATAATTATAATTCATAAAATTTTAAAAACAAAACAAAAATTTTATGAATTTTAAAATTAAAAAATTAAAAAATTTCGTAAGAACATTTGTGATAGGTGTGTGAACTTCAAGGATGTTTTGTGATATACATATATGCCACGTCAGCAAACTAACGGAGTTTTTGACAGAATCTACGGCATGAACCATTTGTGATCATGCATACTAACCTTGAGGAAAAAATTGCAATCTGCAATAGATTCGTAATCGTTTAGTTAGGGGTTTTGTGATAATAAGCCAAAAATCTATGAATATTCAACAAAAACAACAAAACACATGGATCACATGGACTGCAGAAAAGTACCAAGTGGGCATACAAAACTTGCCAGATAACATTTTCAACATAGTTATTTTGCAGCAAATGCACTTCTACGTTTAAATATTTTATGAATGTCATATGTGGAAAATACAAACTGCTAACCAACTTACCATAAGTCCATACCGAGGTTCAAAAATGGTTAGCGGAAACTTCTGAAATGGGAGGACACCATCCATTACAAAGAGTGGCATCAAATCAACACCAAAGTTTGTCATTGCATCATTCTCCAACTTCCTTTCGGCAAATTCCTCTGGGAATTTCTTTTGTATAATGTCATTAAGTGTCACAATGGGAAAAACAAAAAGAAGATATTGAAGGTGTCAGAACTGAAGCAAACAATCTTGATAAAGAAGCACGGTGCATCCAAACATACATTAATACTGGCAATCACATCCCACAATATACTCAATTTTTAATAAAGAGAAATATAAAGTTACCCAAAAGTTGAAGGTTTGAGTCCTGGGGTAATGTACTGTGAAAAGGAAAAACACAAAAGAAGAGCTTCTCTAGGAGGACAAAGGAAAAAAACAAAACAAAACAAAACAAGATAAACAACACAGGAAAGAGGACTAGCTAGCTGTAGAATGTAATGATATAAACAAGGCCGAATGCCCAATTTGCAGTAGCACTCGTCTTTTATTCTAGGCAAGTACTACTACTAAGAAGTCAGAAATACCTGCACAACCATTTGCAGAAGATTCATGTGCTAGTAATTGAGCAAGAAAAAATAAAAAGGAAAATGGTTTATTGATTAGATATAGGACTGCAAGACTTCATCCATTGACTTTATTAGATTTTCTGATATTCAAAACCCCAAACAACCTGATTCCTAGTATTTGAGGCACATATTCAGAAAGTAACATGATTTGTTAGGCGCGGGCGGATTGTGATGGACATCTACTCCCATCTTTCTTGTAGAATCTAATTCACATATGTCTCTCTTTCCATTTTCTTTTCTATATAGTCATGTGTGACCAAAACCATCATTTGCAATATATATGCGATTCATATTGGAAAATCAACATATCTCTTTGTTTTCCCATCATAATATTCTGCTCCCTACAAGAGAATCAACATTTACGTAAATTTTTCCTGAAGAACAGCTGCTGCAATATACTCCTACTAGAAACCTTTGTAAATATAGGAACCAAATGAAAAAGATACAGCACAAATTTTGCCTTACCTTAATAATGACCAGATGATGACCTGGAAGGTTTACAACCCATGCCAATGTGCTGGTACAAACCAATACCTATAATTTAATAGGTATGCCTAATCAGTATATAGAGTAAGAACATGATATTTTTATATTCTCTTTTCCTAATGTGTTTTTCAGGAAAGACTCATGCTTACTGAGGTAAGACAGAAATGCCTGAATCTTGTTGTTTGCAAAAAGCTCCTCAACCAGAGATCCATCTTTGTAATCCAATGCCAAACTGCAATGTGTGCCTCAGGTTAAAGAACCATCTGCTGGGCTTCTTCTGGCATACTAAGAAACTGTCTTGGATGTTCATCTGACGTTGCCAACTTTAATAACAGAAAAGCACCCAAAAAAATTGAATCAACAGCGCAGCCGAAACCGAAGAAAAAAATCCAAGCTCGAGTTGAGAGAGAGGCTCAAGACCGAGTATTTGAATTTTGAAGATTGGACTGCGAGTGCAAGCTTCGTGTTCGTTTCTCTGTCTCTTCATTTCACTCGTGCACCACATTCCTCTGCGAGTGCAAGTTTCGTCTGTCTTCATATGGAAAAAAAAGGACGCCCAGACCCGCCCAGGCCGCCTAGAACCTCCCAAGCCGCCTAGGTGCCGCCTAGAACCGCCCAGGCCGCCTAGGTGCCGCCTAGAAACTCCCAGGCCGCCTAGATCCGCCTAGATCCGCCTAGGCCGCCGAGGCGCCGCCTAGATCCGCCCAGGCAGCCAAGGCGCGGCCTAACTCCCTTACAGCCTCAGAGTTGTTATCTTAGTGGAGATTTCAATAGCTGAATGACATTTGCTGGTTTTCATAGAGAGAGTCCAATCCAATCCAATCAACGCAGCAGCCGAAACGAAACCAAAAAAGAAATTGAAGCTTGAGTTGAGAGAGAGAGAGAGTCTTTGAAG